GTCCACTGTCCCGTCAGATCTCCTGTGACCTGTGGCTTATTGACAGTCGCGTTGCCTAATGTCCAAGCAGTTGGGGGACCCTGTACCTCCTTTTCTTTTTTTATTGATATATAACTTAATTCTACTACAGCCAGAGAACATATATCTTAAGATTTTAATTTTAAATTGAATTTTGTTAGAGTTTGCTTTATGACCAGACCTATAGCTAATTTTCTGTATTACAGAACATGGTAGATGTTCTGTGTGCACTTTCGGGGAACGTGTATGGTGTGTCGGGTTGGCCAAAAGTTCATTCGGTTCCCCCGCCCCCAGACGATGGCTCTAGCAGCGCTTAGTTGTCTTTAACTTCATTCAGAACAATCTCGTTAGACTGTATTGTGACAGCTGTCATGTCAGTATGCATTAAAAAACTTATCAAAATTGGGGGATTTTTGTGTAGACATTTTAATATTGAAGTAGGAAGAAAATATACAACATCTTTGGCATATAATGCTTTATTATTTTAAGAAACATAAAAACACCACTGAAACACAAAAAAAGATTTGTGCAAAGTGTGGAGAAGGTGCTGTGACTGACGGAACGTGTCGGAAGTGGTTTGTGAAGTTTCGTGCTGGAGATTTCTTACTGGACAATGCTCCTTGGTCAGGTGGACCAGCTGAGGTTGACAGCGATCCAACTGAGATGCTGATTGAGAACAATCAATGTTACACCACGTGGGAGACAGCCGACATACTCAGAATGTCCAAGTCAAGTGCTGAAAATCATTTGCACTAGCTAGGGCTTGTCAATTGCTTTGATGTTTGGGTTCCACATAAGTGAAGCAAAAAAACCCTTCTTTTTTGTGGTGATTTTTTTGTTTTTTGTTTTTTATTTATCTTTAGAGGGGAAGGGAAGGAGAGAGGGAGAGAAATATCGATGTATGGTTGCCTCTCGTGTGTTCCCGGCCAGGAACCGGCCTGCAACCCAGGCATGTGCCCTCACTGGGAATAAAAAAACCCCTTCTTGACTGTATTTCTGCATGTGATTCTCTACTTAAATGTAACAAAAACATTTCTTTTTAAAAACAACTTGTGATGGGTGTTGAAAAGTGGGTACTTTACAACAATGTGGAAGGGAAGAGATCGTGGGGCAGCGAATGAAGCGCCACCAGCCTCACCAAAGGCTGGTCTCCGTCCAGAGAAGGTGGCGTTGTGTATATGGTGTGTTGGCAGAGGGTCCTCTATCAGGGGCTTCTTCCAAAAAACCAGACGACTAGTTCCAACCACTCCAGTGAGACCGCTGAGAGCTGCTCTCGATGAAAAGCATCCAGAACTAGTCCACAGAAAATGCAGAATCTTCCATCAGGAGAACAGCAGACTGTGTGGTTCTTTGGTGACCAGGCAAAACTGTCACAGCCTGGTCCCGGTTCATCCCCCGCATTCCCCAGACACTGCGCCTCCTTTGGATTTCCATTTATTTCGGTCTTTACAACATTGTCTTAATGGATAAAAATTTCAGTTCTCTGCAAGACTGCAAAAGTCACCTGGAACGATTCTTCCCTTCAAAAGATAAACACTTTTGGGAAGATGGAATGGTGAAGTTGTACGAAACATGGCACAGGGCAGAGGAACAAAACAGTGACTACGTTGTTCAACCAAGTTACCAGTGAAAATGAAAAAAATGAGTCTTTTATTGTCGCTGTAAATCTGAATGAACTTTTTGGCCAATCCAATATATTTTTCCTTCTCAGTACCTGAGTCGAAATTTTAATTTTTGGTTTTCAATCTCTACTGTGTCTTTTATTTAAACGTGTCTCTTATCAACAGAATATAGTCTTTGGAAATCTGTCTGACAGCGGTGTTGTTTTACTTGGAGTATTTTGTCCACACTAATTGAGTTGGGCAGTCTCGCTCCATTACCTGAGATGCTTGCTGCTTGCGCACCTGCTGGGCGTCTGTCTGTGCGCGCGCGCGCGCGTCTGTCTGTGTGCACGCGGTCAAGCTCGGTCCGCCCCCTGGAGCTGACTGTTCATGTGTCACTGCTAGACTTTGGAAATTATTTTAGCTTTACAGAACATGTAGCAGCTGGGAAGGGATACTCCCCCTCTTTGTCCTTATTTTTCAAAACTCTCTTCCAAACTCTTGCCAGATTGCTCCGAAAATCCTGCTAGGATATGTCGCATATTGGAATTGCACTGAATTAAAATAGCTACATTGGAGGAGAACTGAAAATTTTGCAATATCGAATTGAACATCTGCTTTCATAAATATTTTCTTCATTTGTGATAATGTCCTATTTTAGTGCTTGTCATTAGTCAGAGGATACAAATACAGCCTTTTCCTGTTTTTTTAAAGGCACAGGGCATGTTGCTTAAAGCTTGCTAGAAATCTCATTCAAATTCATGTCCTCACCAGGAATTCATGACCTTGCTCTTATTGTTCCCACCTCAAACCAACTGTCCTAAAACTTCCCTCAATTGCAAAAGTGTGAAGATTTTCCCACGCAAGGAGTCACCGGTGCCCCGAGAGGCGCGTCCCTCCAGTCCAGCCCCAGGGCTGTTCGGGGTGTGAGTGAGGCCAAGCTGCAGAAATGTTCACGGGGGGAGGCTGAGGGTGCATTTAGCTGCTGTAGGGGCTGTGCGGGCAGCCGGGCCTGGTTCCAGCCCCCTAGTGAATTCTGCTCCCCACTCACCCGAGCTTCTGCCCACGTCCTGCGATTGTTGGCCTCCAGTGGTTGGCTGATCTGGGTCTCCTGCTCCCCCTGTAGCCCCTGAAAGAGCCGTGTTAGTCGGGGGGACAGTCCTGCTTTGTGTCTGTCCTGTTCCGGGGAGTTCTGAGGACTCAAGGAGCTGGCCCAGGGCCGAGACTGGGATTGAAGTCCCCGATATGCATGGACCCAGGGCTCTATGCACTCCATGCACGCCCCCCAGAGGGTGTGGCCAGAGGTCCCCACCCCATCCTCACAGACAGGAGGCTGGGGCATGGCTGGAAGGGGGTGTTTGGGCCAGGTTCTCCTGAGGTGGGGAGGGGGGGCAGAAAATTCCCCTTCGGGCTGGGCCACGGTGGTGGGGCCTGCTCGGCAGGGTGTCACCCAGTCCCCTGCGCAGGGGCAGCCTGGGTGGTCCCTGCGAATCGCCTCCCCACCAGTGGGGTTGGGGGCAGTGCACGCCCTGGCGTGGTGGATCATCCCTCAGGGACGCTCAGTCCCTGTTTTGGAGGGAGGGTGGCACCGTGCCACACCCCCCTCCCTAGACCCCCCGCAGTGCTTCCCCTCTCTGTACCCTTGCCCTGACCTTGGCACACGGGGAGCAGACCCCTGTCCGCTGTACCGGACAAAGCTCGCGCTCCCCTCACTGGGATTCAAGGCTTGTGTGGAGCCAGGGTGGGCGACGGCAGGTGCCAGCCCAGGGCTGCTGCACCGGGGGCTCCTGCCTCCCCTTGGCTGGCTCCTCAGTTGGGCACTGTCCCACCTGTAGAGCAGGTGGTGGATGCCCAGGGGCTGCACCCCTGCAGGGGGAAGGATGGGGCGTCACGTGGGACCCCCTCACCAAGCCCAGGCCTTGGGGCGCTCCCAGAGTGAAGCCCCCTCCTGCCTCCTCCCATCTCATCTGAATCTTGCTGAGTCTGGGGCACTGTGTGCCCACTCACTCTGATCTGCAGGCTTTTGGTGTCCAGGTCTGGCCCTCTGGAGCCCACCTGGGCCTGGGTGCTCAGGGGGTGCCGCTTCCTCAGTGTGAGTGAAGGTGACCTTCTAGGGATGCGAAGGTCACCCTCCCTGGGGTTGCGCGGAGCAGGCGCCGCGGCACCTGGGCTGCAGGCCCCACAGCAGCAGCTGTCTCCCCGAGCCCTTCCCCCCTCCCCGGGCCGGTAACTGTTTGCTGACGATGTGTTTAAGGATGCTTTCCCCTCTTCCCTGCATTGTCTCTTTCTGTCGCATTCCTTTTCTGTCTGTTTTAGTCTCTGTACTTCTTGCCAGAGGGGGCATTGTGGTCCCGGTCAGTTTCCCCAGCAAAGAGCTCCGCACCCTGCAAGGATAGTGGTGGCAGCAGGCAGAGGCGGGAGGCCATGCTGGGCATTCTGGGCGAGGCTCACCCCCTTTCCAGTAGGCGCTTCCCACTCACCCTCAGCCGGTCCTCAGAGCCCCTGGCCGAGGCGGGATGGAGTCTCAGGCTCCCAGACAGCAGCAGCCTCTGGCCCCCCGCCTGGTGGGGGCGGTGAGGGGGGCAGAGTCCTGGATGGCCACAGGGTGGGTTGAGCACCTGGGGTCTGGTTAGTCCGCTAGGGCCGCTGTAACAAAGCACCACCGGCAGTGTGCGTCTCAGACAACAGAAGTGCCTCGTCTTCCAGTCTGGCGGCTGGAAGTCCAAGACCAAGGTGCTGGCAGGGCTGGCTCCTGAGGCCGGAGGGAGGATGCACCCCAGGCCTCTCCCCGTGCTGGTGGCTGCTGTCAGTCTGGTGCTCCCGGGCTTGTCGGGGCGCCACCCCATCTCTGTCTTCACGAGGCAGTGTCTATGTCCGGATGTGCCTAATTGTAAGGACACCTGTCACACTGGGTTAGGGGCCCTCTTGACTCCAGCGTGATCATATCTCAACTCGTTACATCTGCCAGGACCCGAATTCCAAATAAGGTCCTACTGTGAGGTCTTCCTGAGGTTAGGGTTTTTGCACATCAGCTTTGAGGGGACAAAATTCAACCCACGAAAGGGTCTAACGCACTTGCTGGTGATTTCCCCAAACTCATGCCGTCAGTCCCGCCTGGACACCGGCCTTCGGAGGAGCTTGAAGTCTGTATGCATCTTGCAGCGGGGTGGGGGTTCCTGGTTAGGCCCCAGGTCCCCGGCTCTGCTCCTCCCTGTACTGTTTCCTGCCTGCAGCCACCCCTCCGGTCCTGTCCTGTGGGCTGGGCCCCAGTGCGGTGTCGGCACAGAGGATCTGGACGGGCCCCGGTTTAGCCACCAGCCAGAAGCGCCTGGTCTGCCTGTTCAAACATCCTTTCTGACTCACGTCTCCCTTTCCCCCAAGGTGTCTCCCAAGCCCGCTGGGGCTCTCGCCTGCCCCCAGGAGTGACCCATAGAGGTTGCAGAGATGGCCGGGGCCTCGGTGAAGGTGGCGGTGCGCGTCCGCCCCTTCAATTCCCGGGAAATGAGCCGTGACTCCAAGTGCATCATCCAGATGTCCGGAAGCACCACCAGTGAGTATGGGCCACGGCTGGCGGCGGCGGCAGAGGCTGGCACGTGGGCGGGGCCCTGGCTTCCTCCTTGTCCGCCTGCTGGGCTGGTTTCCCGGGGTGCGCTTACCGCTGACCGCAAACTGTGTGCCATGAAACAATGGGCACGTAGTCTCCACTGCTCTGAAGGCCCGGGTCTGAAATCAAGGGGCCAGGGCCTCTTATGGGGACACCAATCGATGGATTTAGGGCCCAGCCCGCTCCAGTGTGACCTCACCTTCCCAACTGAGCAAGCTGCAAAGGCCCTGTTTCTAAACAAGGTCACGCTTTGAGGTTCTGGGGGACGTGGATTTTAGGGCTGCTGGAGGGGAAGAGAGGGTGCCCTCCCAGAGCCCCCTTGGCTCTTCCCCCATCACACGCACTGGTCCAATGGCTGCTCTGTGCAGACAAGGGGGCAGAACTCACGGCCTGAGCAGCACCGGCACCAGGAGTAGGGCCCCTTCTCCGCCCACACAGGCATCAGCGGGCGGCTCTGTGCAGCCCCAGGGCCTAACTCATCTGAGAAGTCAGGCCTTGTTTTCCATCACTGTTCTAGAACGTTCTCGGCTCCAAATAGAGGGACACCGGGCATGAAAGAGCCCGGGCAGGAGGGTGGCCACGGCCGAGGCCTTTTTATTAGAGGAACGAATGGTCGGGAGGCCGGCGGGGCCTGGGTGGCCCCCAGCGGAGCACACTGGCCCTGCTGCCTCTCGGAGCTCCCTGACGGCTCCACCCAGGGCGGACCTGAGCGCCCTCTCCCCCAGAAGCCAACCTGTGAGAGCTGAGAGGGGCTGTTTACTGGAGAGGTCATGGCGGTGACCCCACTGGGCGCTGACTGCCCATGGCGGGCTCCACTCCGGCGCTGACTGCCCTCGGGACTGACATCCCGCTAGGCTGCTGTGATGGGCCGGGAACCGGCTGAGGCGTGTTGGGCAAGTGAGCGGAGTTAGATCAACAGGAAAGAGCTTCAGGGGAGGTGGAGAGGGGGGTCTCCAGAGAGGTGGGCAAGTGACCAGGTTCCAGCTCGTTCTCCCCTGGAGCCCTGCTGAGGTTCTGGTCTCTGTTCAGCTGGGGCTCCCCCTGAGTCCTGTGGATTTGGGGCAGTGGCTGCTGTCTCTCTCATGCGCACACGCACACGCGCACACACGCACACGTGGTGGGAATGCTCTCCCCAAGGGCCACGGCAGCTTGGCTCTGGAGCCCCCGCAGCAGGTCCTCGAGGCCGTCCCCATCCGACCTGTGCAGTCCCTCGCACACACCTGTGCCCTGTCCCTGGGAGGGCTCCCACCTCAGGGAGCTCACCGTCCGCGTGTGGTGTATGGGAGGGACCCCAGCGCCATGGCCCTGTTGGAATAAGGCCAGTGCCCGATGTCACGTGGGCGAGAAGAGCAGGCTGCCGGGGCGTGGAGAGGAGATGGGGGCGGGTCTGCTCAGAGAGCCTGCGTTGGGGGCCAGCCCGCAGTGGGGAGCAGGGTGGGGCCAGGACCGCCCTGGGCCCTGCCAGCAGGCAGGGAGGTGGGGAGGTGAGGTCACGGAGGGGGGCATTGTGGGGCCAGCCAGGGGACCCGGCCCCTCGCTGCCAGGGCCGGTGGAGGCCCAGCCCCGCTGCCTGTGTCAGGAGCCCACAATTGTTGTTTCCATGGCGCCGGCAAGATCTGCACTGGGGCTGCGGTGGCCATGTCCCCAGGTCCCAGCAGGACCTGGCAACTCTGTCCCCTCTGGGCCTTGCTCCTGGAGGCTGCATGGCTGTGGTCCCCTCTCAGCTCCTAGGGCAGGGCTGTGGTGCTCAACACCTGTTCCTTCCTGTGGCTTCCCAAGGGCACTGGGTCATATCTCAGAGCCAGGTCGGCCCTGGGGACGGGGCTTCGGTTGGCACCTGTGCTGGGAACAGGGTGTTCAGCCAGAGCCAGTGGCCCTGGGGCCTGCCTGGGAGGCCAAGGCCGGGCGGCTGCAGAAGCCCAGCAAGGTCAGGAGGTGCTGGACTCCCTCCTGCATGGGTGGTGTAGACGGCCCCTCTGGAGGCTGGGTGGGCACGCTCCGGTGGGCGGCAGGGCTCCCCTGGGGCCTGCAGAAGGACCTGCTCCCTGCCTCTGCAGCCCCTGGAGGCCGCCCCAGGTGTCCCAGGCTTGTCGACGCCTCCTCCTTGTGTGCGTGTCTGTGCCAAGGGCCCCCTTTTATAAGGACGCAGTTGTGTTGGTTTAGGGCCACCAGGGTGGCCTCATCTTACCAGTCACATCTGCCAGGACCCCATGTCCCAGGAAGGTCAGCTTCTGAGGTCCCGGGTTAGGGCTTCCGCACTGGGATCTGGAGGGTCTGGCTCTCTTGGTGCTGGTGACGGCTCACTTGGTGGGGGCAGGGGTGTGGGGTCCTGAAGGCAGCGCTGTGCCCAGGGAAGTGAAGCCCCTGGCCCAGCACCCCTGAGGGAACTCAGCTGAGGGTTGGGCACCGAAGCCTGCACCCCCAAATATGGGGGTGGTGAGGGAGGGCTGCTTCCTCAGGCCGGTGATGGGGTGGGGGGTGGCCCCCCAGGTGTCCCCGGAGCCATTGCTGACCAGGCTTCATCTGAGTTCCTGGTGGATGTGAAAACCCAAACGGGATCCGTCTACCGTGCAGGGGGTGCTGGGGGGCCTAAAGGTTCTCGGCCAACAGGGATGTTGCAGGTTCAGAGAGTGGACAGCGGGCAGGGCAGCCAGACAAGGCCTGGGGCCGAGGTCCCTCCTGCTGCTGGGTGTCAAGACAGGAAAGGCCTTAGACTGGGCAGAGGGGTCTCCTGGGACACCCGGAGGGCGAGGGCAGTAGGTGACGGCATCCTTTTAGGCTGTGGCTTCCTTCCTTATTTGCTGAACTGATGCTGGTGGCCCGTGAGCGCCGCCTCTGGCCAGCCGGGCCAGGGCACAGGTCGGTGAGGAGTGGGGCTGGGCCTGTGCAGGGACAGTGCTCGGAGCTGGAGGGGACACTCTTGGGGGATGGGGAGTGAGTCGTGTCCCCGAGAGGGGACGGCCGGCATGTCCCGGCACACAGTGCGGATGAAGCGCCACACTAACCATCGTGCCTGTCCCCTCCCCGCAGCCATTGTCAACCCCAAGCAGCCCAAGGAGACGCCTAAAAGCTTCAGCTTCGACTACTCCTACTGGTCACACACCTCGGTAAGCCAGGCGGGGCTCAGGGTTGGTGGGGCGAGGCCACGTGGACACCACTCGGCCCCCCTCCTGGGGGACCCTTGCCCCGTCCCTCAGCCCCTCTAAGTGAGGCAATGCCCACCCTTCCCTGCTGCAGGGCCCTGTGGGCGGTGGGAAGGGGCAGGTGTGAGGCTCACGAGGAGGGGCCCGCTTTCCTGTCACGGTGTGCGTGCCGGGACCTGTGATGCGCAGCATTCCTGGCTGAGACAGGGACCAAGGGGTCATCAGCTCCCTGTGGGCATTCCCCCAGAGTCCGACGTCCTGCCGACATCCCCCCACCCTGGACTTACCGCACTCACACGTCCACAGCTGAGCCTGGACCACCCGGCGTGGCACCCGCACACCTCAACCTGCACTCCCCCCCGGACACAGGAGACCCGCCCCTTCCGCCTCCCTCTGCAGTCCACACCCAACCCCACCCATCCCCCCACCGTTTGAATCCTTCTAGAAGATGTCCAGTCTCATGGCCCCAGTGCCAGCACCCACCGCAGGCCACAGCTCTGCCCGTCTGGCCCCCAGGGCAGCACCAGAGCTCCCCATTCCACCTTCACGTCCAGGCCCACCTCTTCCCCTTGTCGGCAGTGTCCAGACGCGATGGCCGTGCCCACGGGCGGGTCCCTGGGCCTCAGGGCCCACCCGCAGCTGCCAGGCTGAGCCTCGCCATCTGCACCACAGCACACATTGGGGCCTTTGCTCGTGCCGGGCCCTGCGCTGACCCGCCCGGACGCTCCGTCTGGCCGCAGCCTGCTGGCTCCTCCCGTCCCTCCCTCAGGGAGCCGCCCCCACGCAAGACCGTGTCCCCTCTCCTGGTGCAGGTGGCACCCAGGCGTCCCTCCACATGTGCTGGCCGTGGTGCCTCAGAGGGCGTGGGGTGGGCTAAGCTCTGGGCGTGCCCACCTCCCGCAGCTGCACCCCTCTTGCCCCACAGCCTGAGGACATCAACTACGCGTCCCAGAAGCAGGTGTACAGGGACATCGGCGAGGAGATGCTGCAGCACGCCTTCGAGGGCTACAACGTCTGCATCTTCGCCTACGGCCAGACGGGGGCTGGCAAGTCCTACACCATGATGGGCAAGCAGGAGAAGGACCAGCAGGGCATCATCCCGCAGGCACGCGGGCCGGGCAGGGGGGAGACCGCGGTTGGAGGGGACCCTCGCCTGGGGGCTGTGAGGACTGGCGGTCAAGGCAGGAAGAGATGCCCAGGTTATCGGGAGCCTGCGATGCGGACACCTCAGCTACTGCCGGGACCCTGGCTCCTGCCCCAGCCAGCCCCCCGGCGGGTCTCTGAAGCCACACTGGTCCATGCTGGCCAGTGGAGGGTGCCGGCTGGCCTGCAGTGTGGCAGAACCTACACCCTGGGCTGATAAGGACGGGGGTGACGTGTGGGTGTCAGATGTCAGCGCAGGGACCCCTGGGTGGAGCAGCAGAAGGCAGCTGTTAGGTTGCAGGTGCCTCGGCGCCTTGGAGATGAACAGGGAGGCTGTGGGAGGGACCAGGAGGGCAGTGCCTGGCCTGGGCACAGGTGACCCCTAGCGCCTGAGGGGCGGGTGGGGCCTCTGTCATCTGACCTTGTGTCTTCGGTCTCTATAGCTTTGTGAGGACCTGTTCTCCCGCATCAATGACACAACCAATGACAACATGTCCTACTCTGTGGAGGTAGGGCTCCCGCCAGCAGCCGGTGCTCGGGGCGTGGCTGGGGGTGGCAGGCGCAGACAGCAATGCTTCTCTGATGTAAAGCACATTCCTGCCACCAGTCTGTGCCCTTAGCTTGTCACTCACTCATGAGTGTGGCGACCACGCCACCGGCCACCACACCCACTCAGGGCACGGAGACGTGCAGGGTGCAAAGGACAAGCGGTGGTCCTCCACTCCTTTGTGCTGGGACAGGGACAGGTGCCTCACAGCTGCATAGCCTGGGACGCACTGTGGCCGAGGCCCCAGGGTGACTGGAGTGAGCCCCAGGATGGCCGTGGGCAGGGGAGGGCCGGGTGAGGGGGATGGGCTGACACCCCCAACTCCCACACTCACAGGGGCCTGGAGTCCTTTGCACACCTCCCCCTACTCAGTGGGCAGTACCCACACTCCCTACCTGGAGCCCTTGATGGCGGTCCCTATACCCCTGCTCAGGGATCCTGGAGGGTGACCCCGCATCTCCCAGTACACCCCTCCAAAGGAGCCCCTGACCACCACCCCTGCACCCATCTGGGGCTTTCTGAGGACAGCCCCCACACCCCCTCTCCTGGGGGTCCCTGATGGCGTGTCTGCCCTGCAGGTCAGCTACATGGAGATATACTGTGAGCGCGTCCGCGACCTCCTGAACCCCAAGAACAAGGGCAACCTGCGTGTGAGGGAGCACCCGCTGCTGGGCCCCTATGTGGAGGACCTCTCCAAGCTGGCTGTCACCTCCTACAATGACATCCAGGACCTCATGGACTCAGGGAACAAGGCCAGGTGTGTGTGGGGTGGCTTGCCCTCCGACCCCCATCAGGCCCGTGGCTGCGAGTCTGTCCAAGGAGCCGTGGTCCCTGGGGGACCTGCTGTCTCCCCGTACACCCCGTCAGGTGGCCTCCTGGAGGCGTGGGCCTGGAGGGCCCGAGGCTGCTCAGGATACTCGCCACCCTGAGGGGAAGCTGCCACACACCCCCGTACAGGGGGACACCGGCACCTACACAGGGGCTGCCCCTCCTGGTGGTTGTCCCACAGGCAGCTGCCCTGCTGGGCCCAGTGATGAGGCTGAGGTCCCGCCCCGCCCGCTTTGAGGGTAAATGGCCCCGCGGATGGGGCAGGAGGCTGGGGGCAGGGTCAGCCCCAGGCAGTGCTGGCCGTAAGCAGTAGGTCTCCCTGGGCTTCCCTGTCCTGGGCCTCCCTGCCAGGGCAGGGGCTGGGGGGGGGGGGTCCTGCCTTGGTCGCCATGGCAACAGTGCCCCCTCCCGCCCCCCTACTCTGAGGGGAGGGGTGAGGGCTCCCTGGATCAGCCACCGCCAGCCTGCACCACCTCCGTGGTCCTGCGGGGGCGCTGCTCAGACGAGGCCCCTGAGGACTGTGCACCGTCAGACAGGAGGCCTCAGGGGGCAGTTCCCTAAGGTTTCTGCCATCGCTGCACTGAGGCCTCCCCACACCACGGCCCCGAGGGCTCCCGTGCAGCTGGTAGAGTGAGCAGCACCCGGTTCTGCTGAGCCCCCGGAAACAGAGACGCACCCCCAGCCACGACACCCTGAGTTCAGGCTGGAGTTGGGAGCCGAGGGCCCCTCGATGGATGTGGTGGGCGGGCTCTGCCCTGAGAGCCTGGGGGCGCCGACACCCCGTGACCGGGCCCGACGGGGTGGCCCCTCATTTGACTACAGGATGGCAGGTCGCCACATTTGGCTTCTGTTCCCCCAGGACCGTGGCGGCCACGAACATGAACGAGACCAGCAGCCGCTCCCACGCCGTCTTCAACATCATCTTCACCCAGAAGCGCCACGATGCGGAGACCGACATCACCACGGAGAAAGTGAGCGCGGCCTCACTGTGGCGGGCGGGGGACATCGGGCAGGGGGAGGGGTCAGGCCGCACCCGCCTTCCTCACCTGGGCACCCGGCGTGACCACCCCCAGCCCCGCGTGAGCCTGCGAGGCCACCGCATCCAGGCCTTTGACACCACCTGGGTGTGGACGGGACTGGGAGTGGAGGGGCCGCGGACCCTCCTCTGAGATGGTTTGGGTGGCGACTGAAGGGCTGAGAAGGGCTTCATCCCCGCATGACGCCTGCGGGCCTGGGGCGCCCGGGCTGCAGTGAGGGCCAGGCCGTCTCAGCCGAGTGAGTGCCCATCGCAGAGGCGACGGCGGGCACTGGCTTCTGCGAGCACAAAGGAGGGGCTGTGCCCAGACGCCTGTCCCACGTGCCCGGGCCGGGCGTCCTCTCCTGTCTGTGGGCAGCAGGGCCGGCGCCTGTCCGTGTCCACCGGCCGCTCTGACCTATGGCGTCGGGTTTCCTCTGGCCGTGCCCTCTCCTGCCCCACACCTGGGCCTTTTGCCAGGGCACCCCCTGGAGGGCTGGTTCTCTCAGGCAGCACCCCACATCCTCAGAAGGGCTGGGGTGATAGTGCCACTTGCTTCTGGTGGTGCCGGGGTCACCTCGGCCTGGCGCCATCCTCCTGGAGGCCCTTGATGGCCCCGGGAGCCTGGGGGGGCACTGTGTCAGCCCGGTCATGAGGTACCTGCTGTCCCTCCTGCCCCGCAGGCTCAGGGCATCCAGAGGGTCCCACTGATGTCCCGTTGACATACGAGCAAGACGCCCACAGGGGCTGTGGCTCAAGATGCCCGTGGCCATCCACCCCAGGCCACAGGCGTGTTCACTGGGGCCCCTGCCGAGCGCGCGAGGCATCTGGGCAGTGGCTGGGGCACCAGCACTGGGCTCCAGCCCCGACACAGATGGTGTTCTCGTCTGTGGAAATGGGTGATGGTGGTGGGATGGTCCTCATGGGCGCCGTGGGGAGCCCGTGCACGAGCACGTGAGGAGCGTCCAGTGTGCGGAGAACGGCGTGGCCACAGCGCAGAGCGCTCGGGGGCGGGCTGCAGCCTCCTGGGGCAGGTGGCCTTGCGCCGCGGGCAGACAGTGGGAAGGACTGTGAGCACAGGTGCAGGAGGGAAGGCAGGGTCCGGGAGGCGGCGGGGAGGGCTCGGCTCCGCGGGCGGGCCCCGTGGGCGTCTCTCCTGGAGCTGACACGTGGGCCATTCCAGGTGAGCAAAATCAGCCTGGTGGACTTGGCTGGGAGCGAGCGGGCGGACTCCACGGGAGCGAAGGGCACGCGTCTCAAGGTAGGAGCCTGAGCGCCACATCTGTGGGGGACGGTGGCCCCCTGCACCTCGATGCGTAGGCAGAGTCGCGTCTTTGATCCTGGCTCATTCCAGGGTGGGCCGGGCAGGAGTGGGGAGTGGGGGCCACCCCCACGCGTGAGCCGGGGGAGCGCATGGGGGCAGGGAAGGAAGAAGGCCGGCAGGCAGACGGCCCGGCAGGAAAGCTGGGCCTCCGGTGTCCCCGCGTCGCACTGGAAGAAGGAGGCCCGGGGGCCGGCCGGCCGCGGGGTCAGGCAGCCTCCAGTGCTAGGAAGGCGGGTGTTTGTTCTCCCTGGTCCCCTCTGGGGCCCCCACCGAGACCGTGGCAGGCGGGGCACGCGTGAGGTGTCACGAGGATTTTGAGGAGGCCGAGGAGAGCGCCGGGCAGACCGCGCCCGGCCGGGTGGGTGTCCGCCTGGCGGGCCCCGGGGGTCACGCGGGAGCGACAGGCTCACTGATGTCCCGACGTCTGCACGCGCAGGAGGGAGCCAATATCAACAAGTCCCTGACCACGCTGGGGAAGGTCATCTCCGCTCTGGCCGAAATGGTGAGCCGCCCTCTAGGGCCGGGCCCTCCTTCCCCGGCCGGCCTGTGCATCCGGGCCCTGGGTCGGCGCGTTCCCCTGGGGGGGCCCCCGGAGCCGGGGCGAGCCGCCGGCTGGCGTCCTTCCTGGGGGGGCAGGGCTGTCACCGGGCCGCCTTCCGGGAGGGGCCGCGGAGGCGAGGGCCAGGGTTTGATGGGCCCCAGGGACGGCGGTGTAGAGCACACGCCCAACACGTGCCCAGGCCTCCGCGGGGAGGGACAAACCCACCCGCCACTCGGCCTGACGCGGGACCGGCTTGGAAGGTGCGGGCGCCCTGGGGGCTCGGCCTTTCCTGCCCCTCGGCGCCCCGGCCCGTCTCGCCCAGGTCCTCACACTCTCTCTGCCTTTTCCCTGCAGGACTCCGGGCCCAACAAGGTGAGTGGCTGCCTTGGGTCCCGGGGCGGGAACCTGGGGGACCGGGGGCGGCGGCTGGAAGCAGGCGGGTGTTCGGCCGGGCTCGCCCACTGGCGCCCGCGGCCCGCGTGGCCGCGGTGGAGGCCGGCGGGGCGGGCACCGGGCCCCTTTGCTGAAGGAACTGGGGGTGGCAGGGCGTCCACCGTGGACGCGGGGCCAGCGTGGCAGAAACTCAGCCTCAGGAACTAATTTCTTTTAAGTAGAAATAGAGTTTTTCGCCCACCAGTTTCCAAAGGGGAGAAGGTTTCCCTCGGGCGAGGGCTCGGACACGCACCCACTCACGGAGGCCGCCCAGCTTCCCAGAGCCACGCGTCTCGGGAGCGCCCGCCAGTTGCGCCCCCCGAGGGCCAGCAGAGCCCCTGAGGATCGTCCCAAAAAGCCATGACGCTCGTGTCGGCCCCAGAGAAGCGGCAGGGGCCCGGCGGTGGCACCTGTCCGCGTGTCCCTGGGCGGGCTGCGGGGGCAGGGCCACATCCTTCCCGAGTCACGACGCGCACACGAGGGGGCAGACACCGGGAAGGAGCTGGGTGGCGGTGATCCGTCCGTGGCGTCCTTGACCAGCCACGGCGCGTCCAGGGCAGGGGCCGCGGTCTCCATTCTGAGCGGACTCGCCCTGAGAGAGAAGCGCAGAGCCGCGGAGCGGACACGTCCCTGGGGAGGGCGGGGGAGCGGGCGCAGGAAGGGCAGCGGGAAGCTCTGGGGGCCATGGAAGGGCGTTCTGTGTGCACGGGAGGGGCACGCGGCGGGCGCTGGCAGGGGCCCGGGTTGCCACACTCGGCGGTGGGCCCTCTTGTTTTGAGTCCGCAGAGCCACTCGGCACCCTGCTGGTGTCTGAGGACGGGGCGATGGCCCGCATGTGTCCCGACAGAGTGGAGGGCAATGCGCTGGCCAGGGACATCAGTGTGCCCAGGCCGGAGTCCTGCTCTGTGACCCAGACCCACAGTGGGGGTGACAAGGGAGGAACTAGAGGGATGAGCCAGCAGGCCCCTGATTCCGGAGAGGTGCCTGGGGTTCGGGTGGAGAAAAGCCTGAGAGCTGGCCCGGCCCTGCCCCCCGAGGTGTCCTGGGCCTGGGGGACCGCCCCGCAGGTCCTGTGCTTGCCCTTCCACGATCATGAATTCGAGGTTGACCTTGAATGTTCTCCCCCTCAGAATAAGAAGAAGAAGAAGACAGATTTCATTCCATACAGAGACTCTGTGCTGACCTGGCTCCTCCGGGAAAACCTGGGTGAGGACTTGTGAGCTCGCCCTGCCCCGGGGTTCTAACTCCTTGTCTTCCTGCCTGGAAGCGATGCCCACACACCAGGAGGCCTACCGCCCTTCCTGGGCCGAGACTGAGGTGAACCTGGGGGGTCTTTCCAGAGGACTCGGGACAATGGCCACAAAAAGGTTAATGACAGCAGGTGTCGGGAACCAGGATGGCCCACGGGGCTGAGGAATACCCACCTACCCATGTTGGTGCTCCTGGTTCAGGTCTGTGACACCGGTCCAAATACCTCTCTCTGGGCCTCGTTTCCCCAGGACTCTATGAATATGGGGAGCCTTGCTTGCTTGCTGAGTTTTGGGGGGCCGCCATAGATCCCCTCTTCTCTCAGCCTGAGTTCTGAGCCAGTGAGAGACAGATGGGGAGATGGAGGCTGGGATGCCTCCCACCCACACGTAACCTCAGGGTCCTCTCCAGCTGCGTTTACAGCTGAGGAAGCCGATGCCGTGGAGGTAAACCGAGTCTCGGGCTGGCCCGATGGACATAAAGAACTGGGGATCTCTGGCCTTTCTGGCTGCACTGCTGAGACTGTACCCTAGTGCCACTGTGTCCCGCAGGTGGCTCATGACTCAGTTTACCTCTCTGGGCCTCAGCCTCTCCAGCTGCAAATGCAGGAGGGGACGGAGTGGGGGGAACATGGCAACAAGGCAGTGGGCTGATGTCGTTCTGCACGGCCATTCTTCCCACAGGCGGGAACTCAAGGACAGCGATGGTGGCAGCCCTGAGCCCCGCAGACATCAACTACGACGAGACCCTGAGCACGCTGAGGTGTGTTCTTGAGGGAGGTGGGCCCTGTGCCCCCACCAGGCTTGGGTGGGGGGGTGCCTGCTGGGGAGGCCATTTCACCTGCCCCCCCCAGTGGCCAGCGGGGGTGCCTGGGTCTTCAGGGAACCCTCTGGGGTGCACCGTGGGGTTGCAAGCAGCCGGGGTCTTCCACAGCACGAGACCAGGAGAGCTGTGTTGGTGAGCTGAGTGGCTTGCACCCCCTTTGGCCTCAGGAGCCACCTGGGGTCTTTAAGTAGCAGAGGGGTGAAGGTGTGTTTGTAAAGGCCCCTCTGGATGCCGGCAGGTGTCCTTGAGTGGGAGCCTGGGTCTCCACCTTGCCAGCGGCTGCCGGGAAGCCTGGTCAGTGTCTCTGGCCCCCGGTGACTGAGCACCAGCAGTAGTAAAGAAAAAGAGGACATAGGTCCCCACACAGGGACACGCTGCCTTCTGTGCTTACACGTGCACCTGCTGTACGCAGCACGGGCTCCAACACGCACACATGGGGACATTCTCACACCTCCCACTGGGTCCTTCCACCCTGGGACCACAGTCCATGTGCCAAGGCCTTTCCTCGGGGAAAAGGCGCTGCCTGTCCCCTCTCCTCCTGGGGCTCAGGTTTCCCCGAGTGACTCCCGGAGGGAGACCCCGCAGGCCTGCCGGCACCACCCGGCCCACAGACCCCTTTGCTGCCCAGGTATGCCGACCGGGCCAAGCAGATCCGCTGTAACGCCGTCATCAACGAGGACCCCAACAACAAGCTGATCCGAGAGCTGAAGGACGAGGTGACCCGGCTGCGGGACCTGCTGTACGCCCAGGGTCTCGGGGACATCACCGACAGTGAGTGTCTGTGTGTGCCAAACCCAGGCAGGGCGGCCGAGCTGCGGGGCCCCAGGGGCCTCTTGGGCCAGACCCGGCTTGCTCCTGGGGCCATCTCCCTGGGCTGAGGTGGGTCTGAGCTACCTGGGTGGGAGGCCAAGGTTCTGGCCTCAGCCCGGAAAGGCCTGCATGGTTTGGGTTTGGTGCTGGCCCAGTCAGGCCAGAGATGGTTCCCCTGGAAGCCGTGTTGGCACACCACGGGTGCTGGGGTCCCTGTGTCCCCACCGAAGACCACGGCCACCTGCCTGATGCCCGGCCTGCGACAGGCGAGCCCTGGACCTTCCAGAGACAAACTGTTCTTCTGTTTCTCTGTCTCTCCTCCCTGCCCCACCCCCAGCCAACACGGTGCCCGGAGGACCCAAATGTGTGTATCTCGTGCTGCTCCCTGCGCCTCCCCGCTTCGCCCGCCTGCCCTCGGGGGTGTGGGGCAGCCCAGCAGGAGGGGCTCGGCCTAGGGTCGGCAGGGCAGGGCACGCCCACCCCTCTTCAGGGGCCGGGACAACAGCCCTCTCGGTCACAGGTGCCCTCCTGGTAGATTTGGGGTCACGTCCCCCATCTATATGGGAAACTGAGGCACCAGGGCGGCGAGGGGCAGCTCAGGCAGAAAGTGGCTGAGCTCAGGCTCTCAGGCCATTTGATCCCCGAGGCCTGGGAGGTGCCCAGTGTCAGTGCCAGGGGGCCATGTCTGTCCCCGGCTCTGGCCTCCCTCTGGCCCCGCACACCTCAAGGCCCCTTCCCCCCCAGGAATGCCAGGAGTCTGACTGCTGCCAGATCCTCCCAGCCTGTGACCCCTGCCGGCCTTGGGCTGGGCTCCCTGGGCAAGGGGCGCAGTTCAGTGCCTCCGGACCCCAGGGGTGGGGGCAGGGTCCGCCCTCGGCTTCCCCAGTGCCCCATGCCGTCCCGTGCGCTTGGCTCTGCTGTGTGTCTGCTTTTGCCAGGAGGGGTATCACAGTCCCGACCCCCAGCCAGGCCTCTGGTGGCCCTAGGGCAGCTGGAGGTTCCCTGGGTCCCCCGAGCCAGGAAGCCCCAAGCGCGGAGCAGCCTCTTGGGGTGGAGGAGCAGGGGCTTCCCGAAGGGCCCCGCAGTTCCCCTCTTCTTCAGGGGGCTCCTCAGAGTGGACAGAACAGCCTCACCCTGCCAGATGCATTCTGGGCCGGGCAAGGGGTGGGAGGGAAGTGGGTGCCCACGGCAAAGAGGAGGTGCAGGAGCGCTGGCCCCGGGTCACACCTGCCGGTGAAGAGCAGCAAACAGGGCGGCAGGGTGGGGAGCTGTGGACTCCAGGGCAGAGGCCGCAGGACATCCTGGGCCACACAGAGCTGGGCCTGCGGGGGCAGGGGAAGCAAAGGGGCCTGTGGCCAAGGGCCAGGGCCCGCCCCCCGGGGTGGCAGGTGGCCTTGCATGCGCTGCCCTGCGCCTGTCGGCTGCGCCCACCGGCGGTTCCTGCTCTCGGCCTTCGCCTGCCTCTTGCAGTCTCCCAACTCGTGTCTCTTTTCTCTCCCTCCCCCTGTCTGCCCCCCGCCCCTCCCATAGACCTGTCCGACCTGGACAACAATAACCGCGACTGGGCGGAGCTGAGTCCAGCCCCTGACAATCTCTCCACAGTGACCAACGCCCTGGTGGGCATGAGCCCCTCGTCCTCGCTCTCGGCCCTGTCCAGCCGCGCGGCCTCTGTGTCCAGCCTGCACGAGCGCCTCTTGTTTGCCCCGGGCAGTGAGGAGGCCATCGAGAGGCTGAAGGTGAGGGTGGGGCTGGACAGTGGGCCCTGAGAAACGGGGTGGCTTGGAGCCACGGGCTGCCCTGCTCCGGGCTGAGGCCAAGCCCTCTTGGCAATGGCAGGAAGTGGGGTCGGCGGAGGGGCCGTGAGTCCTGCGGGGGGTGCCCCCTGTGCCCCCTCCATGTTTCTCTGCTCTCTGCCCGGAACCACATGGCCCCTGCTTGCTGGCAGGGGAGGGGGGTCCCAGGCGTTCTGTGCTTGGGAACATTTTCCCTCTGGTCCCCATGTGCCCATACTCATTCCCTGACCCGCAGCCATGGGCCAGGCTGGTTTTAGGTTTTCCGCCCTGTTTTCCCGGGGTGGAGAGTAAGCCCAGACCTTGAGGACAGAAGTAAGAGTTAGGGTTCAAAGCCACAGAGGCCAGACTCGAGACTGGTTTGGGGGCTCTGGAGCATAGGTCCACCTGGGGTGCACCGCGCCCTGCCCCCCACCCTGGGTGTGGGGCTGGAAGCAAACAGGAAGTGTCGATGGGCACCCGTACATCAAAACCAGCCCGGCCTCTCTCCCTCCTGGGCTACTTCGCCTTTTCCTCTGTTCTCTGGAGGCGTCCTCAGGAAAGGACATGGTTTTATTTTTAGAGAGAGGGGAACAGAAGGAGAAAGAGATGGAGAGAAATATCAGTGTGTGGTTGCCCCTCATGTGCCCCCTACTGGGGACCCAGCCTGCAACCCAGGCATGTGCCTTGGTGGGGAATCGAACCGGCGACCCTTTGGTTCTCAGGTTGGCACTCAGTCCACTGAGCCACACCAGCCAGGGCTAAAAGGCATGTGCTTTTGAGCACATACTAACTGCTCAGCCGTGGACCCTTCACACACCGTGCCGCCAGGGAGCATGGGCACTGGGGACTTGGTGCCCTGCAGACCAGCTCGGCCCCTGACCTCTCTCTGCTCTGTGTCCCCCCAGGAGACGGAGAAGATCATAGCCGAGCTCAACGAGACCTGGGAGGAAAAGCTGCGGCGGACGGAAGCCATTCGGATGGAGAGGTGGGCAGTGGGGACGTGGGGACGGCCCCTCCCTCCCAGGGACCCCACCTCCAGCTGCTGTGACCTCACTGACCTGGCCCCTGACCAGGTGATCAGTCCCTCCGAGCAGACACCTTAACTCACTGACCACGTGGGTCACGGTACCTGGGAGCTGCACGGCACCCCGCTGGCTCCCAGTCCATCCAGCTCCAGGCGAGGCAGGTCCTGAGGCCCCTTGGGCTTGAGCCAACCCTGACTCTGTCCCCCCAGGGAAGCCCTGCTGGCTGAGATGGGTGTGGCCATGAGGGAGGACGGCGGCACCCTGGGCGTGTTCTCTCCCAAAAAGGTAGGAGCAGGTCTCAGCTCTGCGGGGCTGCCCTGGTTTGAACATGGCTGGGCTGCCTGCAGCCCTCTGAGGGGCCTCAACACCTCTGGGAGGAGGGGGCGCACCGCAGGGGACCCTTAGAGCCATAGGAGCCGAGGTCTGGACTGAGGACCCTGGGTGCCCAGGACCTGGTAGGATGTGGCACAGGGCCAGTGTGGGGACCCGGCCTGCGCCCTGCATGTCTGAGAGCCCTCAGCTGAGAGCTCAGCTCCCAGCTGCTCCTGAAGCCCAGCTCCCTGAGTACCAAGGCTGAGCACCCACCCGGCCACTTGGCTGACCCCCCGCCAAGGCTCTGGGGTCCCCACCAAGGGCTCTTCCTCAGGGACCCTTTTACTTCATGTGTCCTGTCTGCCCTGCCAGCCTGGGAGGATACTGTGTCCCCCCAAGGCCAGACCCAGGGTGGCTGGTGGTCTGGCACGTGGGGCGAGGTCAGGTAGGTGGCCAGGGCTGGGCTCCGGCTCCCCGCAAAGCAGGTGACTCTCTTCCCACCCCAGACACCGCACCTCGTCAACCTGAATGAGGACCCGCTGATGTCCGAGTGCCTCCTCTACTACATCAAGGACGGGCTCACCAGGTGGGGTGGGCACGGGGTGAGGATCCATCCCTGCTTCTGGAGCCCGATGCTTCCAGCTCCTCTGGGCTGCGTGGCTCTCGAGTTTTGGGGCACCCCCTGTGCCCCACTCCTGTGCATCGTGGGTGTTTCCCATAACAGCCCAGCGGGGCGTCCCTGGAGGCTGTAGGGGGAGTGGGGAGGAAGCCCCGGTCTGGTCGTCACTGACTGAGCCCCCGCCCTGCCCCCCACAGAGTGGGCCGGGAGGACGGGGAGCGGCGGCAGGACATCGTCCTGAGTGGGCACTTCATCAAGGAGGAGCACTGTGTCTTCCGCAGCGACTCCAGAGGGGGCAGTGAAGGTACGGCTGCCCTTTGCCCCCACCTGGTGCCGCCGCGTGTCTGGCCTGAGTGGGGCCTGCTGGGTCAGCCCGGGCTGGCGGCTCGCCTCCCAGTTAGCTCCCTGTGGCTCCTGGGAAGCCCTCCCTCAGAGGAGGCTTTGGCACCGGGCTGGGCTGCGGGCTCTCTCTCCCGTGCTGAGGCGTTGGGCTGTTCCCGGGCGGAAGGACAGCGAGCCACGAGGATGGAGCCAATGGAGGGTGGAGAATTCTTTTCGGACCACGCTTTCCTGTTGACTGTAGGGCGGCCGCCCGTCCGCCAGCCCAGTACACGGGGCCTGTCTTGGGTGTGATGTCCTGGGGGGCAGCTGCTGGGCCAGAATCTTGTTACAGTGCCCACAACCCCCAGCGCAGGGCAGGAGTCCGGCCAGGCTCCAGGCTGCAGACCCATGGCCGAAGCCCGCTCTGTGACCAGGACATTTCAAGGCAGTGGCCTGAAGCAATATGGGGATGTTGGCTCTCCCAGAATTCTCTGTCCCCAAAGCCTGTCCTCCCCAGGGGGGCTCCAGGACTCCCTGGGACGTGGTGCCCGGTTTTCCATCCATGTCCACCTGGAGACCCCGACGGGGTGGGCAGTTGACCAGCACGGGCTCCGGGCTCTCTGACAGCGCCCCCGCCTCGGGCACCACGCTCCTCATTTATTGATCAGTGCGACCCCCACCCCCAGCTTCTCAGGCGCCCGGGCAAGGTGCCACCCACAGTCCGGCTCGGCTGCTGGAGGGGCAGCGGAGGCAGGGGCTGCCCGTGGGTGGCCAGGGGAGTGGAGCCCTGCAGCTGGGCACAGGGCATGGCAATACAATGACGGTCCCTTCGCTGCCCCGTCTGTCCTGTAGCTGTGGTGACACTGGAGCCCTGTGAGGGGGCAGACACCTATGTCAACGGCAAGAAGGTCACAGAGCCCAGCATCTTGCGGTCAGGTATGGCTGGCAGGAAGCCCCGCCCCCATCTCTGCCTGTGGTGCCTGCCCAGTCAAGGGCACTGGCTGGGGGGCAAGGCTGGCCAGAGGGTGGCACCCACGGGCCCACAGACAGGGTGAGGTTGCTTTGCAAACACCCGTCTGTGGCTGCAAAAGGGGTGGGACCAAGGGGGCAGATTCGGGTGAGTAAGGAGGCTGGGTCAGGCCCTGGTGGGGGCAGGGGGAAGAGTGCCACAGGGCTGAGGACCTGGGGGCAGTTCCTGGGGCGGGGGGTGCTGGGGGCCTTCCCTCCCCTCTCCCTGCCACGCTGAGGCCCCCTGAGGCTGCAGGCCTCCCTGGTCCAGCGTGGCCTTCATCCCCAGGAAACCGCATCATCATGGGAAAGAGCCACGTATTCCGGTTCAACCACCCGGAGCAAGCGCGGCAGGAGCGAGAGCGCACGCCCTGCGCGGAGACGCCCTCGGAGCCCGTGGACTGGGCCTTCGCCCAGCGGGAGCTGCTGGAGAAACAGGGCATCGACATGAAGCAGGAGATGGAGCAGAGGTGACACCGCGGGGGCCCCCTCACAGCCCGAGCTGCCCCACCTCACAGCCCGAGCTGCCCCACATCCCCCAGCCTGGTCACCAATCCCCGCCGTGTGCCCCCCCCCCCGTCACTGCCCCCACTCTTGCAGGCTCCAGGAGCTGGAGGACCAGTACCGCCGGGAGCGGGAGGAGGCCACCTACCTGCTGGAGCAGCAAAGGCTGGTGAGGGCGGCCCCTCCAAGCCCGCAGACCCCACACCACGCCTGGGCGGGGTGGCTGGGCCCCCGCTTTGCAAACAGCCCGACTCTCGGCCTCCTGGGCTGTCTCTGTGGTGGGGGCGCGTCCAGCGCTGGGCAGGTGTGGGGCTGCAGCTGTGGGGTGCAGGTGGAACCCAGCCCCTACCTCCCTGCCAGGACTACGAGAGCAAGCTGGAGGCGCTGCAGAGGCAGATGGACTCCAGGCTCTTCCCAGAGGCGAACGAGGAGGAGGAGGAGCCGGAGGATGAAGGTGAGGGCTCCCCAGCCTGGTCTCCTAGCAGTTGCTTTGGTCCCGGGGCTGCTCCCTGGGGCGCCCAGGTCTCTCCGGAAGAGGCCTTGTCCCCGGGAGGCAGGATTCAGGGAGGCCGTGCTGCAGCAGGAAAGCACCCCCACACACGTGCACATGTGTGCACACGCATGTGGTTCTGGAGACAGCAGCCTGGACCAGGGGGAGGACAGGCTGCTGGAGGAGGGGTTGAGCCTGGGAGCAAGGAGGGCCCTGCTGGTGGACAGAGGGCATGCGAGTGGGGAGAGGGTGTGGGGGCGGCCCAGTCGGGACCGTGGCCTCCGTGGGGCAGTGTCCCTGTGGTCACGCTGCCACCACCTCAGTCCCGACCGAGCTTCAGCTCGACCCCCTGGACGCTCACACGCTGGCCTGGGCGGTGCCTGCAGAGCCTTTCACATCACGTGGCTCCAGGTCAGAGGGTCCCGCCAGTCTCCTTCTTTCCGAGCACCCGGAACAGCTAGTCTGAGACGGGGGACCAGACTCAGCCCCCAGCCCATCCCAGCCCGGCCCAGAGTGGGCTGTCTCGGCGTTGCCTCGGTGACCCCGTGGCCTCTCCCCACAGTCCAGTGGACAGAGAGGGAGTGTGAGCTGGCACTCTGGGCCTTCCGCAAGTGGAAGTGGTACCAGTTCACGTCGCTGCGGGACCTGCTCTGGGGCAACGCCATCTTCCTCAAGGAGGCCAATGCCATCAGCGTTGAGCTCAAGAAGAAGGTGGGCCCTCCAGCCGACTCGGAGGGCGGGCTCTCCCATCCTGCTTGCGACTAGACCCAACTCTGGGCTCCTCTGCTCCCGGGGGTGGTGGGGGGCACTGCCTGACCTGGGCCCCGGGAGGGTGTCTGCAGGAGGGAGGCCGGGAGCCGACCCAGGCGAGGAGGCGATCAGGTGTGGCTCCTCCCTGAAGGCGGGCCGGAAGACCCCCACGTGCAGCCGTGATCTTGGGGAGGCGGGAAGGAAGCCCTTGGGGCCCTGGCTCCCACCCGCCGCGGGGCTGACGGGGGGACATCTGGTGCCTGTCACAGGTCCAGTTCCAGTTCGTCCTCCTCACGGACACACTCTACTCCCCACTGCCACCGGACCTGCTGCCCCCAGAGGCTGCCAAAGACCGCGAGACGCGCCCCTTCCCCCGCACCATCGTGGCCGTGGAGGTGCAGGACCAGAAGAATGGGGCCACCCACTACTGGACGCTCGAGAAGCTCAGGTGGCGGGTGGCGGCTGCGGTGGTGCTGGGTGCGGGGAGCCACCGAAGGGGGGCAGGCGTCCGCTTCACCGCGCTCCTGTCTCGGCTTTTTCTCCTGTCTTCGTCTCTTTTAAAATCAGAGGCGAAGCGTGCACATGGGCCCAGCCTCACACAGAGCCCGCGTTCTCCCTGGACCAGCACAGTGGAGACACTCAGTGTGTCTTTATGCGGGGGCGGGGCGGGGCTGCAGGAAGGTGGTGCAAGGGGGCCCGGGGGCCTGGACGAGCCGCCTGGGCTGCCGGAGGTCCGCTCCTCGGTCCCGGCCTGCTCACCGACGTGTGCCCAGCCCTTAATGTGTAAATGTGACCGAGGGAGACATGACAGGTCAGCGGCACTGGAGGAAAGCTTCACGTTGTCCACGGTCCCCAGAAAGGAGGGGAAGGCCGGCACAGGGGGCCGGCCGGGGGGGAGACGTGGGTGAGGGGCAGGCCTGGGCCGTGGCCCCTCTGAAGTTTCCACGGGCGAGGCGGGCAGGGCGAACAGCTAGGACAGGCAGGCTTTGGGGCCCAGGGCTGCCCCCCCCCCCCGCCCGCTGCCTGGCGCCCGGCCCTGGGCTGACGGGGGACAGGGCGCTGGCTGGTGTGTGTGTGGAACTCACCCCCAGGGTGTCCGCTGTCTGGGGGTTGGCAAGACAGGACGTACATCGTCCCCAGACAGCGAGTCCCCGAAGTTGTCAAAACCCCATCAAATACAGAGAATGAGGAGTTGGATTAACACAACACACAGTGCACACTCACACCCAAAGGCTCTCCCACACCTTCCTGGTACGGCTCATCTCACACACACACACACTCACACCGATTCTCCCCAGTCACCATCACACTCAGACTCACACACACACTGGTACAAACTCGCACTCACCGCCCCCTCCCCCCCGGGGGCTGCCGTCCGGAGTTTGGACCAACGCTCACCTTCAGTGGTTCCTGTTACACCTGAGCCCTGGACATGATCCCATTTCCCTTCTTCCTCAACCGTGGGTTTTCCCGGGGTAATACTTGTTAAGGCGCCGTGTTCTGTGTCCTGTCACCGATTTGCCCTCTGTTCCTGAAGTGTCCCGCGCTCCCCGGCCACACTCTGTGTGGGCTTACTCCACTCCACCCCCACCTCCCATTCTGTGCACCCTCTGCCACTGGTTCCTGGCCGTCCTGCTGTGGAAACCACCAGGCTGTCCCCGACCGCTGTTGGGAGGAGTTAGTGGTGACCTTGCAGGTTTAACTGCAAGTTCTTTGCTTACAGTTGACTGGCACAGGGGACCAAGAGGGGTCTGTCAGGAAACTGGCCTGAGTCTCAGACGACTCTGAGTGGGATGCTGTCCCGGGGGGAGGGGCGCCAGGTGGCCGCCCTGTGGGCCCACACTGGCCTCTGCCGCCCTACAGGCAACGCCTGGACCTCATGCGAGAGATGTACGACCGGGCAGCCGAGGTGCCCTCCAGCGTCATCGAGGACTGCGACAACGTGGTGACCGGTGGAGACCCCTTCTATGACCGGTTCCCCTGGTTCCGGCTGGTGGGCAGGTGGGCACCTCCCTCCCTCCCTGGGCTGAGGGACAGAGAGAGAGAGAGAGAGACTGTAGTGAGGGCAGGATCGGCCTCCTCCCAAGGTGGAGCCCCAGCTGGGGCCTCGCCCCGTGAGGAGGAGCCATTGAGATGCCTGTCCCTGTCCCCACCCCCCTTGTCCTTCCTGCTCTGATCAGTGGACCCCATTACTGAAGGGGCCACGGAGGGGTCTCATCTTTGCCACCATACCCATCGTGGGGTGTTGCCACCAGGTCACACGTGTCCCTGTGTGTGTGAATGTGAGAGGCTTAGACTTTCTGGGTCACCTGGTGGCTGTGGCGTGTGAGTGGGGACACAGGGTCATGTCACCCCAGAGCCTCAGTCCCATGCCTCCTTGCCCCAGTCGGGGGTCTCTGTCCGGGCCTCGGGCCCCATGAGATGCCGCATGGCATTTGGAAGCCTCCACGAGGCCCAGCGCACGAGGTCCTCACGTGACCTCAGCCACACCAGGCCAGAATCACACCGCTGCTGCCTCCAGAACCTTCCAGAACCTTCTACTGACCACACAGGCAGTGTCCTCCTCGGCCTGGGACGGGGGGTGCACCTCCAGCTCTTCTCCTTTAGGGCAGCGTCTCCGGTGGTCTGTGTGTTTGGTTGGGGTCTCCCGGAAGCCCCACCCGTGCGCCCCGCGCGTGGCTGGCGTTAACTTCTCTCTGTCTTGTCCTACTGACCCCAGCTCAGTCATCTCTGGCTGCAGCAGTCACCCTCTTCTGAACACGTGCATGAGCGCGCGCATGGCTGCTCTCACCCCCTCCCCCACCTCCTCGAGCCCCGACTCCGACGCCACCGAGCCTGCCGAGGAGCAGAGCCTGGGGGAGGAGGAGGAGGAGGAGGAGGAGGAGGACCTGGAGGACGACGTCTTTCCCGAGCACGGGCTTCACGACGGCCGGGACCCGTTTTACGACCGGCCCCCCCTGTTCAGTTTAGTAGGAAGGTTGGTGAGGTCGAGGCCGGCATGCTGGGAAGGAGCCAGCTCTTTGGCGCAGGAGCACTGCTGCGGGCACAGTCTGGCCGCCGTCCGGGCGTGACCCCCGGGCTCAGGGGCTGGCGTCCAAGGAGGGGGCCCAAGGGGGTGCGAGGCGTCCAACACCCCGGAGCGTGGCCGCAGCCAGCTCCGTGCAGGGGGGATACAGAGCAGAGGGGCCCGAGAACCTGGGAGGTGGCTGCCGGAACCCCAGGAAGGGTCCTTGTCCGGGGTCCCTGCAGGGGACCAGAGGGAAGCCAGCAGGAGGCAGGCCGGCCCCAAGGTCCTGTGGTCCTGGGGGTGGGACCCACCGCCAGCTGGGCCGCTTCCCTGAGCTCCCCTGTTTCTTGAAGAAATGGAGGCCTCCGGGGGGGGTGCTGCAGGGCAGGAAGGAAGGTCTGGTGCTGCTCAGGCGGCGGAGGGGCCCCCACCTCTCTGTCTGAGGTGAGGACGGCATGTCCTTCCCGCCTCCCAGGCCACCACGGCTGGAGGCGGGGGTGTGCACGTGGCCCTCCCAGGAAGTGGCCCCTGCAGAGAGGAGCAGCTGTCGTGCCCCGGGGGCGGCACAGGCCCTGCAGGCGAGGGCAGGTGGGGGGAGTGGGGAGCAGAGAGGGCCACCCTCACCTCTGTAATCACCAGGAAGGGAGGGAAGCCCGACCGGAGAAGGAAAGATCCGGAACCCACTGTGGTGGAAGGAAACAGCGCATGAGATGCTGACTTTACAGGTTCTGACGTGAAAAGGTGCAGGGCCGTCTGAACGGCACCTGATTCTGGGGTTCGAGACGGTTTCCTCGGGCCAGGCCCAGGGAGGCTGGGCTGCCGCAGACCTCACAGCGGGTCCCCGGGGGCACCCTGGATTGCTCCCGCCAGGGTTCCATGAGTGACATGCTGGATAAATGCGTGTGGCTCTCTCCCTCCGGGACGCCCTGGCCCGGCCTTCCATCTGCAGAGCCCGGCAGGGAGTGGCAGCCTCTCAGAAAGCCCCAGGGGCCACTCAGGGGACCGGCAGGCGTGGGGACAGGGCCCAGGGGAGCGAGGACACTGGGAGAAAGAGGGTGTGGGTTCTCGCAGTCTCAGCTGGAAAGAGCTGGGTCCTTCCGACACCTCCCTCTGTGGACCTGTGATGTCACGAAACGACCAAACCAAAGCAGAGTCGCCCGCGAGAGGCTGGCCCTGCCCGCGGGCAGCCTGCCAGGGGCTTCTTTTGGAAATGTCCTGATCTTTTCGTTTGGCAAGAATTGGCTCCCCCGCTCAGCAGCTGCGCAGGCCTGGGCCTTTAGGAGGACCGGCTTTGGTTTCCTCTAATCCTTCCGGTAGCTGCTGGCTCTCTCTCCAAAGCTTCAGCAAAATGGGGGTGCCCACTCTCGTCCCCCTGCAGAAAGGCTCTCCTGGCCCAGCATGCGTCTTCGCACCTCTCCGGTCTCGTGGCCAGTGCTGCCTCCTCCCTCCCACCCTGTGGCTCCGGCTCCGCGCCTCTGCACCTCCTCTCTCCGGGCGGGTTCAGCCTGCTTCAAGGTGCACTCCCCTCTGTGGACGGCCCCCCGCACGGGCCTCCCCCGTCCTGTCCTGACCCGGGGCTCCTCGGCCAGGTCCAGGGGCCTCCCCCGGGGCCCTCTGCCTCGGGCAGTCTGGGGTTGTGGGGTGAACTCGGGGGTGGGCTTACCAGGCAGAGGAGCTGCTGTCCCCCATAATCCTTTGTACCTGGACTGCCACCTTCAAGAGTTGGGTGCAGGGCAGCTGCACAGAGGAGGCCAAGGGGCCAATGGGTCCCAGGAAGGGGGGGGGGGCTAGGTGAGGGAGGAGACGTGACTGCCCGAGGGAGGGAAAATGCCCACCTGCCCCATGCCCACTCTGCCCTCGGGGCTAAGGAGGCCGGCCTCAGTGGGGTGCGTCCTGTGCACCGGGCTGCACAGCCTGACTCCCTGCCAGCAGGGCTGACAGTGGCCCCTCCCGCCCCGGGTGTGTGCAGGGCCTCCCCGTGGGGCTGCTCTGCTTCCCATGGTGGCCCGTGCTAATGTCCACTTGTTTCTGCGCCGTGTGTTCTGTCCCCTTACGTCCGGGTGCTGTTGTTCCGAGTGGCTCTGTATGGGGTGTGGGTCTTTCAGCCCCAGCTTGCAGTCCCTCGAGGCTGGTGCAGTGGCTTCTGGGCCCCAAGGTCCCTTCTGGCAGAATGTGCCTGTCACCGTCAATGAGGGGACTGGGATTAGGAGGAAGGTGCTGGCTCGGTATCCTCTACCCTCTGTGGGTGCGGCCCCATCGCCGCAGCTGGATCTGTGGGGCCTGGGGGTGCTTTGTGCACCCAGGGGGCTGCAGGTCAGTCCCGCCCATCTTAGTGCCCGTGTGTGAGGAGCGGGCATCTTAGCGTCCAGAAGGTGTGGGTGCGCCACCCACCTCAGGTGTGGCAAGAGCAAGCTGCTCAGGGCTGGCCCCCGGTGAGCCCGGGCTGCCAAGGGCACAGTCTGAGCCCTGGGGACCTGGGGGCTTGACGGAAGCCAGCCCCGGGCCGGCCAGGCGCTTTGAGGTGGCCTGATCTCGGCTCCCCCGGCTGGCTGGGAGGCCCTGGACCGCCCTGAACTGCTCCTTCCTTGGGGCTGCACTGATGAAGGACCCTCGTGCCCTTACCCAGTCCCTACGAAGGTCCTCCCGTGGATTCCCTGCAGAGTGCGGGTGGAAGCTGGCAGGCTGTGACCCCCTCTGTGAGTGCCTGGGGCTCCTGGGAGCCCCCTCGGTGTCCCTCTGCCCCTCTGCCTCCAACACCTGGATTTCTGCAGTGGGCCTTGCCCCACGGTGGGCGGGGCTGTCCGGCCCGGTCCCCTTGGCCCAGTGTGGTGGGACTGAACGGGCCTGGCAGAGGGGTGTGGAGTGGGGTCCGCACCGGCCCCTCAGCCTGCATCCCCAGCTTCCTCCATTTCCCCCTCCGGCCTCGTGGCAGCCCCCCCGCCCCACACCCAACAACAGACAAGTGTCTTTGGCTGGGCACCTAGGTGCCCGGGAGGGAAGGCCCCCGCTGTCCCCATCCCAAGCCGTGTAGACACCCTTAGAGGAGCTACCACTCTTTGGGCCTCAGTTTCCCTTTGTGGCCAGGGCCAAGGGTGGACGGAGGCCCATGGGGGCTGGGCAGCTGGGCTGGGTGAAGCAAGGAGCTTGGATGTGTCTGAGGGTGGGGTCCAGTGTGCACCCCAAGTCTCCTCAGGTGTTGTGGGGGCCACAGGGGGGGCAGAAGGGTGGCTGGTGGTAATGGACCCGCCAATGGACTTCACAGGCTTTTGAGGTGTAACTGATGCGTTTGGAAGATAAGAGAGGATGGTGCTCAGGTTCCTGACCTGCTTGGGGAGGCTGGCGAGGAGGGGTCAAGGTCAGCAGCCCCGCCTGAGGGGGCATCAGGCCCCGGAGTCGAGGTACCTGGCAAGGCCTCGTCTGTCCACTGTCACAGCAACGTCCAGCGCGGTGTCCTGGGTCGCAGTGGGAGATGAGGCCAGCGGCTCAGCTCGGGTGCTCTCAGACCCTGGAGCAGCCGAGGGAGGGGCAGGGTGACAGGTGGCCCCCCCAGCTCCTCCCCACTTTGTCCTGCTCCGGGGACATGAACCTAGGGGCTGGTGCCCACCTGCCCAGCAGGCTCCACCTTCCCTTCCCCGTCTCCCCCAAGCCCCCACCTGCGGCTGCTGCAGCCCTCGTCTGCCCCTCTTCCCCGAGGGGGCTGGGCCTCCGAGCCCCTCCTGGACACCTCCTCCCCGACCCCTCCCTACCTCCTGTGTCAAAACCTGCCCCTCCGCCAGTGGCTCCCCACCCCCAGACCCCACAGGAGCTCAGGGTTATGGATGTTCGGGCCTCTGGGCTGGAGCAGGAGCCGCTGTGGACTCCGCGGGAGGCAGGGTCCTGAGCCGGAGTGTGCAGGGCAGGGCTGTCCCCCGGGGCCCACATGGGCGGGCCCTCCCTGTGCCAGGGACCCGTGAACAGCGGGAGAGACTTCCTCCCTGTCAGCCCCCACCCGCCCAGGGCAGCACTGGGTGCTCTGGGTCTTGTCTGTCCCCCCCCCCACTTGTGCCAGCCCTGCACATGGACGACCTTGGGGGCTGCAGCAGCGCCTGGGCAACGTGGCCTCTGTCCAGCCTGTCCTGGCTCCAGCTGGCACTGCTGGGGGGAAGGGAGGGCCCTGGACACTCTGTGGGTAGCTGGTGGGGTCACAACCGGCGGCGCCATGGGGCCTGGAGGTGTCCATCCAGCCAGCCCTCCCCGGGCACGGGGTTGGGGCTGGTCCCATCCTGGCTGGCCCTGTGGAGCTCCCACTCACCAGGAGGAACCTTAAGCCCTGTTCCAGCACCCACGTTGGGGGCCGCTGGGAAGTGGGCGGGTGTCAGGGGGTGGCCCAAGCACCAGGGCCAGTGTCCTGGCGCAGCGGGCGGGTCCCCAGGTCCTCCTCCTTGAAGCAGGCTGAACCCCTCAGCTGCTCCCTCGTCCATCAGCAGGTGTGGCCCGCGCTGCGTCCATGCCGCTGACCATGCCTCTGCTCCCCGCGCACGGCCTAGCCGCCGCCTCCTCCTCCCTCTGACGTCCTCTGAGCGCCTCCGCCTGCCATCGTCCCCTGCCTGTCCTCGTCCTCGTCCTCGCCTGCTGCCCGGCCCCCACGTCCGCTCCTCTCTGCTTCGCTGTGTCGTGTCGTGAGCTCAGCAGCGCTGTTGCCACCACCGCCCGCAGGCGCGCGGGTTTGGCCCTGACCTCGGCCTCTGCTCCCCCAGGGCCTTCGTGTACCTGAGCAACCTGCTGTACCCGGTGCCCCTGGTGCACCGAGTGGCCATCGTCAGCGAGAAGGGCGAGGTGAAGGGATTCCTCCGCGTGGCCGTCCAGGCCATCTCAGGTGCGTGCGTGGCTGTGGCTTCTTTGCAGGTAGAGTCCCCAGGTGGCAGGCCTCTCGGGGCCTCACATGGCGGTCCTCGTGCTGCCAGCTGCCCCCGGGGCCCTCCCCTGGTCCTAGGTGGGGCTCTGGGAGAAGCCCCGCTGCCCAGCCCCTGGCTCCGGCCTCCCGGACTCTCCCAGGGCGACTGGCCCACTGGGGCTGCGCAGGCCAAGCCCAGGGCTGTTCTGGCTCAGGGAACCTCCTCCCCAGGCGGACACGGGTACCCCGGCCCAGAGCAGAGCCCGGCTTTCTCTGAGCCCCAGGACTGGCTGCCCCAACCCAGCCACAGAGGCCCTCAGAGCCCCCCTTTGTGCAGGGAACCCCTCCTTTGGACCCCTTCGCCTCAGTCCCAGGTGGGGGGGCCCTCGCTGCAGAGGAAGATGCCTCCCACTGCCCCTCCCCTCACCGGGTCCCCAGCTTGGTTCGCTCCCTTATTAATGCAGCTTGGACTTCCTGCCGAAGTTCACTCAGGGCGTGAAAGATCTTTCTAGAACACGAGCTTGGAGCCCAAGTGGCTGCCCTGGGGCTGGGGCTCCTGCCGTGATGGTCCGCCCTCCCTCCCCCCTGTCTGGGCCCTTCCTCTTTACAGCCCCCCCAGCCACATGAGCCCCCCCGGGGAGCCTGCAGAGAAGGGGGAGCCTGGGGTGGGAGTGAGGACGGCCCCGGGGAGGGCAGGGGTGCCAGGAGTATCCAGCGCCATCCTCACCCCTCGAGGGGACCCTGTCCCTGCAGGCCCGGTGGCCGTCCCTCCTTCCTAACCGGCTCTGTCCCAGTTCAGTGGGGACCCACTGGGCAGGCTGCTTTATAGGCTGACACCACCGGTAGCTGGGCCACACCCGATGCTCTCTGCCTAGCGGCCCTGGTGGAAGAGAAGCAACTTAAAAAAAAAAAAAAAACCTCGAGGGAACCCAGCCTCAGTGGTCACAGCAGTCACACCGGTCCCCACCCCCAGCCACGGCTGCGGTCAGTCCCACTGATCTCCCTGCGCGGAGTCCTGGGCTGGCCATGGCGGTGGCGGGACAGAGAGATGCACCCACAGGCAGCCAGGTTGGAGAGTTCGGGGTGTCAGCGCCCCCCGCCCCCAACAGACGGGCAGGCCCCGGTTTGCAAGGCCTCCTGGGGATGGCTAACCAGGGTGGCTGCTGCTGGGGCTCAGGGACACCGGCGGAAGGCAGGTCCGAGGGTCCTTCAGGCAGCAGGAAAAGGGCTGGATTTTGTCCCCGTGGGAAGCTGCAAACCTCTGCGGAGGAAGGGGGCGTGTGGGGCGCTGTGTCCAGGTCGGGGGTTGTGGTGGCTTTGCGGGGGGGGCTGGCAGGGGGACAGGTGCGATTCCACCGTGAAACCAGGAAGGTCCGGTGGGGCGGGCTCTGCCACTCCCCCTGGGGACAAGCAGGGCCCTGACCGTCTGCTCGGTCCTGTGGCAGCCGATGAAGAGGCCCCAGATTACGGCTCAGGTGTCCGCCAGTCGGGAACCGCCAGAATCTCCTTTGATGACCAGCATTTTGAGAAGGTACCGGGCAAGGGGCTCTTTCTCTGTCCTCAGGCTCTTTCCTGTTGCACCCCCACCGGCCGCCCTGTGCTGAACCTCGGTGCCCGACGCCTCACGCCCAGGGCAGAGTGTCTGCCCCCTCTGCCCCCTCCGCCACAACTCCCTCTCTCTCACAGGGGCTGGGCAGTGTTGGGGGTGCACAGGAGGGGCAAAGGTGGAGAGGGCCACCGGGAGGCTGGGTGGGCACCTGGCCAGGGAACTAACTGGGTGGGTGAGGACCCCGAGAACCAAGCCCCCGGGGAGGAGGGGCTAAGGGAGGGTCCTGGGCGGGAGCAGAGCTGACGGCCTTTCCCTCCATGGAGAGCGGGGGCCACGCGACAGCCTGGGAACCTGGGGGGCTAGGGTGCGTGTCTGTGAGGGCCCTGCCCGGCTCCGGCTGGCCCCGGGCCCCCCGAGCCCGCGTTCTGCAACTCGGCCCCGCCCCACGCAGTTCCAGTCTGAGTGCTGCCAGGCAGGGGGCATGTCGCGCTCCGGGACCTCCCAGGAAGAGCTGCGCATCGTGGAAGGTCAGGGCCAGGGCGCGGACGTGGGGCCCTCCGCGGACGAGGTCAACAACAACACCTGCTCGGGTAGGTCCTGGGTGGCCGTGGCTCCGCTGCCTGCCCCGGCCCCCGAGGGCGGCTGCGTGGGGTCTGGGCCGGACCCTGGCCCCAGCCCCCCGGGTCCTGCCACCTGCCTGTGCCCTGGGCTCCCCACAGCGCTGCCTCCGGAAGGCCTGCTGCTGGACAACCCCGAGAAGGCCGCCCCGGACGGGCCCCTGGACGCCGCCCTGGACCACCTGCGCCTGGGCAGCACCTTCACCTTCCGCGTGACCGTCCTGCAGGCGTCCAGCATCTCCGCGGAGTACGCCGACATCTTCTGCCAGTTCAAGTGAGCCTCGGCCCGCCCGGACGGGCCCCGTGGGCGGGGAGGCGGGAGGCGGGCGGGCGGGCCCCACGCAGTGCCTGGCCGCGTCCCAGGAACCTGGCCAGACACGTCCCCCTGCGTTGCAGCTTCATCCATCGCCACGATGAGGCCTTCTCCACGGAGCCCCTGAAGAACACGGGGCGGGGCCCCCCACTCGGCTTCTACCACGTCCAGAATGTACGTCCTCAGAGCCCTCTCCCCGCCCACTGCGGGGTCTGGCTTGGTGTGGCCTCCCGGAGCCACGCACCCGTATCTCTGCGGCTCCTTCCCCTGTTCTGGGCACGAGCGGGTGCTGGACGCGCCCGGGTGGGAGGACCCAGGGCCTCTGGCACCAGGCAGGCACTTGCTGGGTGGAAGACTCGGGTGGGGGCAGTAAGTCCGGAGAGCCCCCTGCAGGGGGCTTCAGGCACCCCAGACATCGAGTGTCTGGGGTGGCCGTGGTCTGGGCGAGGCACCCTGCATGGTAAGGGCAGAGGTGGCTGTGGGGTGCCAGTCGTGGTCGGGGAGAGTCAGGAGGGCTCCAGGCTGAGGAGCATCTGAGCCAGGAGTCAGGAGAGCGTCAGAGAGCGGGGTCCCCAGGCAGTGGGGGCTGCTCCTGGTGGCGAGGACCTGTTGGCCGGGCCCAGGAGTTTGACCTGAGCTGCTCGGTCTCTGGGTTTGTGGTCTGATCTCTGGTGGCGTGGCGGACCGGCCATCCTGGCCCTCCCGTGACCAGGAGCACGCGGTGACTGCCAAGCTGGGGAACAAGGCAGGCCCGGAGGGTGCATGCTGGGCTCCCCTGGAAATCGCCGCCTCCCAGGTCCGGAGGGAGGAGCCGGGGGTCAAGGTGTCTGGAGGCTGAGGGGAGCACTGTCCCAGTCCTGTCCTCGAGGCAGGCCCGCGGTGTCTCTGCCCCGAGTCCTCACAGGGTCTCCTCACTGCACTCGCCTCCTCGGTGCTCCGATGTCCCTTTGCACAAGGACCCTGGTCCCTGGTCGTACTGGGTGAGGGCCACACTGACACCCTCATTCTGACTCGATGACCTCTGTAAAGACCTTGTTTCTAAATGCAGGTGCTGAGCGGGGCGGGGGGGGGGCACAGTTCAACCCCTAACTCTTGGTGAGTGGAGGGCCCAGCGGTCAGACCAGACCCCAGAGGCAGCCTAGTCACCTCAGTCACCTGGTCAAGTTCTGCGTTGCGAAAGGGCAGCCGTGCCCTGTGGCCCAGTCCTGTCTGTCCTGGGAACAGAGGCCAAGGCTGCCCACCCGGTGCTCTGTCCCTTGGGTGGGTGACAGAGGACAGGCAGGGCTGGAGGGGCCTGGGTGACGAGCACCGTCCGTGCCACGGGCAGAGGGCCAGCGCCACCCCCTAGCCACCCCCACTTGCCCACCAGATCGCGGTGGAGGTGACCCGGTCCTTCATCGAGTACGTCAAGAGCCAGCCCGTCGTGTTCGAGGTCTTTGGCCACTACCAGCAGCGCCCGTTCCCGCCACTCTGCAAGGACGTGCTCAGGTCCCCGCCTGCCTCCGGGTCACAGGGCTTGAGGGCCACTCTTGGCCTGGGTGGGGTGGGTGGGCGGGCTCCCGGCTTTGGCCCAGGCCCCCATAGGTGCCAGCTGCGTGGCTGCCTCACACCAGTGCCGCTTCCTCCACAGCCCCCTGAGGCCCTCGCGCCGCCACTTCCCACGGGTCATGCCGCTGTCCAAGCCAGGTAGGCTGGGCTTCGGGTGCCAGCCTCGGGTGCCATGCGGGCCTTTCGTGCCCAGGCTCCAGGGCCACTCTGCACCTGCCCTACCTCTGGGGGTCCCCCTGAAGCAAGGGGCTCCATCCTGGGCCCAAGGTACAGGCAGAGAAAGATGCCTCCGAGGGGTGTCGTTTACTCTCTGCGGGCGCAGACCGGCCAGCCCGTGTGAGGCCGTCCCTGCCCTGTGCCCCAGGGGTTCCTAGAGCAGACGACAGAAGTGTGGGAGCCCAGAGAGGAAGGCAGGGAGGTGCTGGGGGCCATCCGAGCCTGTTTGTCAGGCCCTGGGGGCAAGACTTGCCCATTCCCGAACGCTGTGCTCGACCAGGTGCCACAGGCCGCGGCCCAAGCGTGGTGGAGCAGGGGGTCCCAGCGGGCGGCGGGCCTCTGGGCAGGCGTGCTCCCGCTCGTTCCGTGGGGTCCCCAGCCACCACCCTCTCTTCAAGGGTGTGTGGCTATGAGCTCCTCCCCCTGGGCACAGCGAGGCGAGTGCTCACACCTGATCCCAAGCCAGTCACGGTGGGGCCTGCCTGCGCCCGGAACAAGCGTGTCCTGGGGTGTGGGGTGGGGGCTGCTGGTGGTTTTCCTTGGAGTGAGGTGCCCTCGACACACAGCCCGTCTGGTCTCTGATCGGCCTGTGCTTCTCTCCTGTCACCCCCAGTGCCGGCCACCAAGCTCAGCACGCTGACGCGGCCCTGCCCCGGGCCGCGCCACTGCAAGTACGACCTGCTGGTCCACTTCGAGATCTGCGAACTGGAGGCTGACGGCGAGTGCGTTCCCCCGGCCCAGTGTGCCCCGTGGGGGGCCGGGGTCCCCGGGGGGCTGGGGTGGGGGGCGGAGAGGGCTTGGGACTGGCCAAGGGGGCCCAAGGTGAGCTCCTGTCCCCGCCGACTCTGGTGTCCATGGACCAGCCACCCCATCGTCAGCAGCAGGAGTCTCTGCCTTTTCCCCCGATTCGCCCCTTCCGATCGTGGGGCCTGTGGCAGCACTGTGGGCGGCAGGAGGGGTCCGACCCGGACCTCACGCTCCCCTTCCCCCTCTCTCCAGTTACATCCCTGCGGTGGTGGACCACCGAGGCGGCATGCCGTGCGTGGGGACCTTCCTGCTCCACCAGGTGCGAGACCCTCTCCGCCCCAGCCTGCCTGGTGCCCCTCGCCTGCCCCACTGGCCCCAGGCTCCCTGACCACTGACTGCATCCTCTCTCCTGGCTCCCGGCAGGGCATCCAGCGGCGGATAACGGTGACGCTGCTGCACGAGACAGGCAGCCACATCCGCTGGAAGGAAGTGCGCGAGCTGGTCGTGGGTGAGTGAGGGGGCGGCTGGCCGTGGGGTCTGGGGCCCGCTCAGTGGGAAGGACACGGACCGAATCCCTCCTGGGTTCTACCCACCACTCTGCCTCTACTGCTGTGTGACGACGGCCACGTCACCCAATCCCTCTGGGCCTCGGTCCCTCCCCTGCAGAGAAGAGCCCGGGCAGCAGGGTTGATTCCAAACAGGGCCGCACGCTGGGTGGCTCAGACACCGGAGATTTCGCCTCTCGCAGCTCCGGAGGCAGCTGTCCGAGACCCAGGGGTCGGCTGGTGGCCACGCCCCCTCCCGTCCTTGCCTCTTGTAGCTTCTGGGGGTCTGTGGGCGCTCCGTGGCTCACAGACACGTCACGGCGGTCCTTCGCCTTCCCGTGGCCTCTTCCTGTAGGACAGATCAGACCAGGGCTCCCGTCCCAGCGTTACCGCGTCCTGGCGATCACGCCCGTCACAGAGGCTCTTCTCCCCGAAGGTCACCGTCAGAAGTGCCGGGTGTCAGGGCTGCCACGCGTATTTCAGTCCTGGCAGGGCTTCTCCCGTGACGTCAGGCTGTGAACTTGGTCTCCTGGAGACCTTTCCTTTGCTTCCTGTGAGGGAGGGCTCTTCCCAGTGTCCACTCAAGGGCACGGACATGCTGCCCACTTCCACGCACCATCAGCAGAAGGCCACCACCACCCTGTCCCCGCCTCCTGGGCCTGGCTGTGGCCGCATCCCTGGGGTGTGTGGAGGGCTCTGAGGGGGCGGCAGCAGGGATGTGACCGTTCTGAAGAAGCAGGGGGGTCAATGTCACTGTCACTGCCAGAGCCGAAGTGCTGAGTGGGGCCCAGGCAGGGCCCTGAGGGGCTCTGTGGGGACTGCCCCTTGCAGGAGGAGTGTTTGATGGCACCGGCCATGTTTCTTTTCTTTGTTTCTGAAAGTATGATGAGAGGGAACATTTTCTCTTTCTCATCTTGCTAACATTGCCTTTTCCAGCAGGTAGGTGGGCCTGTGCATTTGGGGCTGAGCGACTGGAATCTACAGGAGACAGGGAGGGGGGACTCGGCACTTACCCTGGGGGGGAGGCAGTACAGCAGTGCCACCCCCCGGCTGTGCCCTGACCGATGGCCAGGGGCCGGCTGCAGCCCCCACACCGGCATCCCTGTCGGCTGCCGCGCTGCCGTTTACTGGAGGCTTCCGGGGCCCCGCAGGGGCCGGTTCCCCGACAGGCCTCAGTTCAGAAGCTGGGCCCAGGCGGAGGCAGTCAGCAGGGGCCCAGCAGTCCCACCTGCTCTCCTGGAAGTGACCCGGGCCCACCACCTTTGCCGTAGGTCGAATCCGGAACACTCCAGAAACAGACGAGTCCCTGATCGACCCCAACATCCTGTCTCTCAACATCCTCTCGTCTGGGTACATCCACCCGGCCCAGGATGACCGGTGAGTCCCCCCGGCTGCGGTGGCGGGCTCTGTTCCCGAGTCCCCAGCAACGGGTCTGTCTGGGTCAGGGCCCTGGGGTGGGGAGTGACGTCAGCCCGCAGTGCCCTCGGCTGGCAAGGACACGCTGGGCCCAGCCCCACGGGCTGGGGTGTCTGTTCCGGAAGCGTCTAGACCTCCTGTGGGACTCCCGAGGGACCAGGAGCAGGGAGAGAGCTGGGCCTCGCAGTCCGTGGGTGCACATCTGAGCATTTCCCTTCTTTGGTCGCCTGGCAGAGGGGCTGGCGGCAGTCGTGGGGATGAGCTGGGTCCTGTCTGGGGTTTGGTGGGTGGGTGGGCAACACAGGCCGTGGGTGGACAGGTGTCCCCTGTCTCCCAACCTTGCTGCTATGGCCTCTGCCGGGGACCTGGCCAGGGTCCCTGAGTCGAACCGGGGGCACACTGGGTTGGCAGCCAGCATCCCGGGCCAGCACCCTGGGTGGTGGCGTGCCCACTGGTCACTCCTTGTCACTGGCCTAGCCCTTTCCAAACTCACAGGAGGCGGTCGCAGTCTTGTAGCCTGGGCAGTCCCAGCATCTGGGGCAGTTACAGGCGCTGGGGGCCCCGGGGACAAACCAGCAGGACAGGAGGGAGGTGGGGGGAGATGCTGGAGCCAGGGAGGTGTCGGGGGCACTGGGGGCTCACAACTGGCACTGCTGAGCGCACCCTGGGTGGTGTCGGTGGGCTGGGCTGTGGGGGGTGAGCAGGGGGCTCCAGGCCCAGACCGGCCGCTCCTGAGGGCTGCACCTGCCTGGCCCTCGGCACTGCAGCTGTGGGGTCTCCCCTGTGGCTGGGGCTGCGTGTGTGTGTGCGGGATGCAGGGCCCACGTCCCAGGAGAGCCAGTGTCTGTAAGGACGAGGGTCCCGGGGGAGTTGCCTCCCGTTCTTCTGACTCTGGGGCCCAGAGGTTCTGAGAGGGGGTGTGAAGGGACTGCCCTTGGGAGGGCGGCTTGGTGGGTGTAGGGCAGAGACCCCGACAGAGGCAGAGGCGGCTTTGGCCTCAGCCCTGCCCTGGAACCTTCCAGAAGGAACTCACCCTGCAGTCCTGTCCAGATGGGGCAGAATCTCGGGGGGTGTCCTCACGTGGACCTGGCGCTGTGACAGGAAGGCAGGGGCCGCACCTGGGGTAGCAGAAAGGGGAGGCCAGCAGGGGCGGGCCTGTCACTGTGAGAACAAACCCAGGGACCTGGCAGCGAAGGCTCAGCGCCCATCCACGTGGGGGGCACCTGCAGGGCTACGGGCCGCTGGCCTGGGCCCTGGACGAGGGACTCCCGGGAGGGCACGTGCCCCCGGGAGGGGTCTGTGCGCCACTCGGAGTGACGCTTTGGGCCTGGGGGACGGCCTCAGCTTTCCCCTGGCTGCTGGCAACTCCTAGATCCTCTGGGCAGGAAGCTAGTGGGGGGCAAAGGGAAGGGGTAGACACGCTGCCTGCTGGGCCCCTGCCCTGCACTAAGGGCTGTTTGTGGGTCTTCTGGCTGCTGGGGGCCTCAGGCCCCCCCCAGCCCCTGGACCCATCACTGATGGGCGTCCGCCCTGCACCCTGGGGGCTGTAGGAGTGAGGCGGCCCCGGGGCCCACGGGCCCATCAGCACCTGAGGTCAGAGCCCTGTCCCAGGACAGAGGAAGGTGCAGACCATCGGCCCACAGGCCCCGTACTTGGTTTGGCTCATCTGGTGCAGGCCCATCTCCCGCCTGCCCTGGAAAAGCCTGGGGACCCTCCTCAGTGCGTGACCCCAGGCAGGGGCCGCTGTGAGGCCTGGCGGAGGGGTGACTGGCCAGGCCAGCAGGCTCCGCCTCAGGCCCTTCCTCTTCCTTGACCCTGGCTGACCTGCTCAAAGCCCCTTCATGGACCCGCAGCTCTGAGGGCGAACAGGAGGCCCTGCTCCCTCCTCAGACCTTGAGGCTTGGCGACCCCCAGCCTGGCTCCGGCCTGGGGCTGGCCACGCGCTTTGCCGCAGCCTCGCCTCCCCGCTCGCTCAAGGCCCCACGCTTTGCAGCCTCCCAGCTGAGAGCGGGCCTGCCGGCTTCTCTCTGTTCTGCCACCCCTCGCTCCTCCGCTGCCCCTGCCGCTGCCGCTGCCCCGCCCCCACCGCCCCAACGCCACACTAACCTGTGACCCTTTGTGTTTTGCAGGCAGTTTCTTGATTCGGACATGCCTAGGTATCATTTGTGCCCCCGGTTTCCTTCCAGCCTCCCCCGCCCCCGCCCCCGCCCCGAGACCCCATCTCTGCTCTCTGGATTTCTCTACACTGGGCATCTCTCCCTCCCACTTCCTCATCTCCTTCAGCTCATTTCCTTGGAACACCTTCTTGAGTTTTTTGTTGCTTCTTTGCCTCCCTGGCTGAGTCCCTCCGGCTCCACCCTTGATTTTGCTGCTTTGGTCGTTGGCTGTCCTCCCGTAGACACTGGCTGGCCCCGCTCCCCCACCCCAGCCTTGCCCGCCCTGTGCCACCCTGACCTCTCCTGGCCGGAGGGCAGCAGGTGCCTCGCATGCAGGCTGGCCGTCCAGGCCCCTGGAAAAGTGGCAGAGGGAAGAGGGGGGGAAGGAGGAGCAGGCAGGAGCCACCCTGCCCGCTGGGTGTGAGCCCCTCGCCTGCTGTGACCGCCTCACGCCTGTAGGCAGGAGGTGGGGGTGCAGCGGTCAGGCTCCAGACTCACTTGGGTGGTCCCAGGTCCAAACGCCCTGGAGATGCAGATTCCCGGGCTGGGGACCTCAACTCCCTGCTGAATCCAGTCAAGGCCCCTGCAGGCAGACAGCCTCAGTCACCAGCCCAGACTGTGTCCTGGAGACTCCAGTCTGTTCTGAGTGAAGGGTCAAGCCTGTCACCTTCTGAGTCCCTGTGGATGTGGCCAGAACTCCATGCGGTGGTCCCGGGGGGTCCCCTGTGGTCATCCATCTTCAGAGAGGACGTGGGCTGCAGGTCGGCCTCCAGTGCAAATGTTCGGGGGGAGACGGGTGCAACAGGACCACCTGAGGCTGTGTCCTGGTCAGGCCCGGCTGTGAAGGGCCTGGCCACGTGGTTACTGTGAAGGGTCCCTGCTGGCGCGTCCCCAAGGCTGTGTACACCCGTGCGCCTGTCCAGTGACAAAGGCTGCAGCAGGCCCCCGCGGGAACACCAGCCTGGTGAGGCAGAGCCCTGCAGCGGTGGTGGCTGCAGAGGAGGGTGCAGCCCTGCGGGGCCTGGAGCGGGGGCCCACCTCTCCCAGCAAGTGGGGAGGGCTTGCTGGGGGAGGCGGTCTGCTGGCCGGTGCAGGAGTAGGCCCGGAAGGCCAAGATGCTGCACCTGCCAGGCTGTCTCCCTGTCCTCAGGAGGTCAGGGCCCCCGGGGTCAGACTCGAGCCTCTGTCTCGGGCAGGAGTCACCGAGCTACATGGTTCTGGGGATGAGTGGATGGTGGGAGGGGTGGTGGTGGGGTCTCATTCCACACATCTGCTGTGGGGGCCAGGGGCCACTCCGACTGGGCTGAGGCCGCTGGGCTGTGACCTTGGCTGGCTGTGTGAGTGTGGGCCAGTGGCAGAACCTTCCAGAACCTTGTTCTCCTCACTGCTCATGGGGGGGATAGCATCAGCCCCTGCCCCAGGCAGTGGGATTGAACAGCGGGCGGGACGCAGAAAGGCTCTCAGCTCGGGGACAAGGGGACTTGCACGTGTGACTGCAGATCTGAGCCCTGGGGTTGTCGCGGTGGCCAGTTAGTTTTCATGAAAAATACTCCTTGTTGATTTAAGAGGCATTGCCTCTGAGCAAAAGCCTGTTTTTATGGGAACTGCTCCATTTTGCCTGAGGGGCCACACTAGGGTGCCAGGGGTCTCTCTTACACAGGGGCAGAGCCCCTGGGCAGGGTCCAGGAGGGGGCTGAGGAGGGGGCTTTGTCACACGGGGTTCAGGCCCCCCAACCGCGTTCCATCAGCTCACCCAGGGCCCACGCTGCTGCCCAGAGCAGAAGGGTCCACGGGACCCTTTCCCGTGCTGCAGTGTGAGGAAGAGCCTGGTGGCCCGTGGTGCACCCACCCCATCCCACCAGGTTCCGGGTCTGATTTAACCCAAATCGGAGCCCAGTCTGGTGCTGCTTCAGCCTCCCCAGGACGGACCTGGTCATGGGGTCTTGCTGAGGCCCCATTCCTGGTGGGTGGGGAGGGGGTCCTGCGGGTCTGGGACCGGAGCCCGGACTCCGAGTGTCTAACCAGCTCCCACGTGGCTGCGGGCGCTGCAGGCCCAGGGACCCGGCGTCTGGGCAGCACGTTCTCCTGACCGCTCCCTCTGGGGGGTGGGCTGAGTGCCGAGTGGGGCAGGGCGAGGGGTGCTGTGGGGAGGGCCCCCCCCAGGGTGGCCTGCTGCCCGGGGAGGCTGAGACGCCCGTGCCATTCATGGAGGTCCCGGCGTGGCCTCCTCAGCCTCCCGGAGGCACCCTCTCAGCTGCTCTGGGTCTTGTTCCGGCCTCGTGACTGGGGGGCGCCCGTCCGAGGCCCCGGAGCAGTGTCCGGCATCCCGCGTGGCTGTCGCTCCGCCACTCACCCTCCCTGCGCACACTCACCGCCATCTGCTCTCACTTGGGGTCTGCAGAGTCCTCAGGGGCACGGGCCCCAGGTCTGGCCCCTGTGTTCTGGGAAGCCGTGGCTGGCTGCAGGCCGAGGGCCGGTCTGCTGGAAGTGGCATGGGGCTGGGGGCTGTGCCAGGTTGGAGTCAGTGCTGCTTGGCACCAGAGGGATGGGCAGTAAAAGGCCCGGGAGGGCCCCCCTCACCTACCCCACTCCATCCTGCATGTGAGACCCACTAGTGTCAGGGTTTACGAGACAGTCACCAGTGTTCGATCAGGACAAAGCCGCATCTTAGCCCAACTGGGGGCCTCGGAGGGGCCTGCTGTGCACGTGGGCCTGCCTCTTGAGCCCCAGGCCCAGGGTCCAGCTGGGCACCTATCCTGGCCCCCCAGGCAGGCCTCCCCCAGCGCCCTGGGGGGACCAGAGACCGTGGTGGTGATGCTAACCTGCAGGGCGTCTCTGTGTCTGCTGACAGGCGGGGGCAGGGTGGGGGAGGCTGGGACGTGGCATCTGGAGCTGGGTGATGTGGGGACATCTGTGCCAGGCTGGGCTGCGTGGGGCCCTTGGCTCTGACCGCAGGCCTGGCCCCACAGAGCCCAGGTGTTGGGGGCCCCTGGGGCGGGCAGCATCCCTCCAGGCCTTGGTCTCAGCTCCAGGGGTGCCTGACTGGTCCCGCTGGGAACAGACGCAAGGCTCCCCCTGCAGACGCTGTGGGTGGGGCTCCGAGTGGCGAGTCCGCCGTGGCCAGACACTTGTGCCGGGCGGGGGATGGCGCAGTTCTGACACGTGGTCTCTTCTGTGTGTGTGCGTGTGTCCTGCCTGCCTCGCCTTTAGCGTCTCATTTGGAAGTGACACTAGGTACAGCTCACGTCTCCCTTCCACACCTGCTTCCGCTTTCCAAGTTCCTTTCTTCTTCGACACCTCCCAGTGCTCTCTGTCCGTCTGTTACCCTACTGTCCTCACGTCCCTTCTCCTGGACCTTTGTCCTCGATGATGTGTGTCTGACAGCGGCCCCACCCCATGTCACTGCTTCACCCGTGCCCCTGGGCTGTGCCACCGAGAGACAGGCAGCACGGCCCTGTCTCTGCACACCTGGGCCGGGCCGTGCGGGGCCCACGCCGCCACCTGCTGTTGTGTGCAGGTGCTCCTGGGCCGAGTCTCTGTGAGGATGCTGGGAAGGAAATCGGGCGAGGCAGGCGGCCTGCAGCTCGGCCGGCGGCCTGCAGCTCGGCCCCAGTGGGGACTGTGGCCCACTCCCCACTGACGATGTGCAGGCAAAGCTTAGGGGCTTGGCCGTCCATGGACAGAGCGGCCCCCACCTCCAGGGGTTGCTGACCCCGGCTCAGGCTCTGCTCGTTACCTTCCTGGTTGGCGATGGCGGCAGGAGAGACCCCGCCCGCTCCCCCTGAGGGCACAGCCTGGCCACGGTGGGCAACGGGCGGAGCCCTCTGCCATCAGACACCTGGCTTCCAGCCCCAGCGTCCTCCCCAGGGGCCCATCCCCCTGAAGGCCAGTCGGTGACAGAGGGGACGGGCCTTGGAGGGTTTTGCAAACCCCGCTGGGCTCTTTAGGGTTCAAGGAGAAACCGCGGTGCCTCCTCACTCAGACGAGGCTTCCTTCCTGTCCCCGTGCTCCCACTTTCCTCTCTCCTTCCTTCTCTCCACCCTCCTGCCCCTCAGCGTGAGGGCTGTGGGTTACCGCATGCCACCATCCGTCCACGGTGGAGGTGACAGCCGGGCTCACCCTGCCGGTGGCATTTCCGTCCCCTCCTCCCAGTCCTTCCTGGACACTGCCACCTGGGCCTCCAGGTCTGTGTCCCAGTGGTGCTCCCGGCGGGTTGCCCACACGTCTGTCCGTCTGTCCTTCTGCATGTCCCCATCCCACCTGAGAGTGGCTTGCGCGTCATTATCTCACCTCTGCTCTGCTCCCTCCCAGGACCTTCTACCAGTTTGAGGCTGCGTGGGACAGCTCCATGCACAACTCTCTCCTGCTGAACCGCGTCACCCCGTACCGAGAGAAGATCTACATGACCCTCTCTGCTTACATTGAGGCAAGACCGCTCAGCCTGGGCGCCACCAACACCCCCGCCCGAGGTGTTTGCCCAGGGCAGGGGGGAGAAGTGAGCCCTACACGGCCTTCCCAAGTCCTTGTCACGTCCTACACTCCGAAGGCAGTGCTCAGCCCACCCCCTCTGCCGACTTCACCACGTGGGGTCATCCTCAGCACTGCGAGGTGGCTGCAGCCCCACCAGACATTGCATCTGTGTTCCAGGCAGTGGGAAAACAGAAGCCTCCCCCCACCCCCAGGATCTTGAGGCACAGAAGCAGGCTGGGAGCATGGGTGTTTCCAGCAGGCGCAGTAGCTGGGGATCTAATCTGGAAGTTTGGGTTTGGTGGTGGGGTTGAGGGCAAGGCCTCCCCTCGGAGCATGGTTACTTGACCTGTGACGTGGGGCTCTGCCCAGACAAGTGCCTGGCGCCCTCAGCTCTGTCAGCGGCTACAGCCAAGTTTCAGGAAAACAAAGAACGTATGTGGGCACTTCTCACACACACCTCGTGCGGCGTGTCACCGATTTCGTGCTGAGGCAGCTGAGGCCTGCGTCCGGCACCCCTGGGGTCCCCACACAGAAACCGGGCCCTCACTGGCCCTGGGAGGCAGGGCTGCTGTCTCTGTCCCCAATGGGAGCAGAGACTTCCTGCTGCCTGGGTCTGGAGCCACGCCGGGCCGGGAAGGCCTGGGCTGCGGTGGGGGCCCGCGAGGGGGTCCCTGTACCTAAGCCCCCGCCCCGCCCCGGGCCCCACAGATGGAGAACTGTGCTCAGCCGGCCGTGATCACCAAGGACTTCTGCATGGTCTTCTACTCCCGAGACGCCAAGCTGCCCGCTTCGCGCTCCATCCGCAACCTGTTCGGCAGCGGGAGCCTGCGGGCCTCTGAGAGGTGGGCTGCGGGGTGGGCGGGTCACCAGGGCTGACCAGCTTGCTCAGGGGGCGCTGGGGCGCAGACTGGCCTGCGTGAGAGCCCAGCTTGGCCGCCCTGGCTGGGCCCCTGCTCCCGGCCCTTCTCACTCACCCTGATGGTGGGGATGTTGGGAAGCCGGACTGCCCCCCCAGCACCAGCGGACCTTCCTCCCTGGGGGCCCCGGGATCTGCCATCAGAGAGAGAGGCTGGGTAAATGTGGGGGCCAGGCCGGGTGGGGGCTCTGGGTGGAGGCTGCCAGTGCCCGAGGGCCAGACGCCACACGCCAGGACCAGCTGTGCCCCTCACACTCCCTCCTGCTCTGGGCTGTGGACTCAGTGTCTGGGCAACTCCGTGTGCAGGGGGAGGAAGGAGTGTGGGGCCAGGACTGAGTGGCCTTGGGCTGGCCTCGAGGAGGGTCCGTGAGGGGTGGCGGGCTGCCCTTGGAGGGAGCGGCCGTTCTGGAGGAGGGGGGGTCAGGGGCGGGACCGGTCCTTGTGGGGCTGCAGTGTGGGGACCTGACACCGAGCCGCCCCGCGAGGACTGGCTGGGCCTGGTGACGGTGCCCGCTGCTCCCACAGCAACCGAGTGACGGGCGTGTACGAGCTCAGCCTGTGCCACGTGGCAGACGCTGGCAGCCCAGGTAGGTGTCCACTCTGGTCTCTGCGGCAGCTGGAGGTGAGGGCGGGGGTGTGGCACTTTGAGGCGCATCACCTGGGGTCTTGGGGTCATTTCAGATGACCTCAGCTAAGCTGCCACTTGGGGCTCCCTTCCCTGTGAGGTCCCAGGATGTTCTAAGGGGCCGGGGACAGTGAGGGGAGAGGCCCAGCAAAGGGAGGGAAGGCAGGCAGGCCACAGCTGTGACTCCCGTGGGACGCTGTGCTGGATGACTTCCTGTGGGTGAGCCCAGCATGGCTCTGCAGGGCGGGGAGCACCGAGGGCAGGCGGTGGGGTCGGGGGCGTGGTCACGGGTAGGGGTGTGGCTGAATGGGCGCCCCTGTGCAGGGATGCAGCGGCGGCGCCGGCGGGTACTGGACACGTCCGTGGCCTATGTGCGGGGCGAGGAGAACCTGGCTGGCTGGAGGCCCCGCAGTGACAGCCTCATCCTGGACCACCAGTGGGAGCTGGAGAAGCTGAGCCTCCTGCAGGAGGTGAGTCCGTGCTGGGGCCCTGGGGTCCCAGGCCACGGTGGACAGAGCATGGGACACTCGTTACTATCACAGACCAGGCAGGCTCACCGTCAACCTGGCCACCGAGGGCTGTTGGCTTGCAGAGAGCAGCCAGAAAGACAAGGGGGTGGGCTGGGCCCCCCAGGAAGCTGGTCGCGGACTGCCCATGTCCACCTGCTCTTGGCCACCAAATGCTGGTTGCAAGGCCAGGATGGAGGGAGAGTGATATGTCGGCCTCGAGGTGCAGGTGGGGGCTGTGTCCTGGCGGCAGCCTGGCCTCAGGTCAGGCGGCTCCCCCAGGGTTTGCCCTGGGGCCCTGGGGCTCAGCGGGCCGTTGGCTGCCACACCCTCCCCGCCCCCTGCCCCACTGCCACCTGGCCCACCGCTCGAGCACAGCAGGTGAGGCCTCCTGGCTCCCGGGTGCAGGTGGAGAAGACCAGGCACTACCTGCTGCTGCGGGAGAAGCTAGAGACCACCCAGCGGCCCGTCCCCGAGACGCTGTCCCCGGCGTCCAGCGAGGACTCCGAGTCCCGCAGTTCGTCTGGCGCCTCCTCTCCGCTCTCGGCTGACGGCCGACCGTCACCCCTGGAGGCACCGGATGAGAGGCAGCGGGAGCTGGCGGCCAAGGTAGGCCCTGGTACCTGGCCTTGTCTGTGTCGGCTCCTGTCAGGGTTGACAGACAGAAGGAGGACCTAGCTATGGGGTCCCTTGCTTGCTGCCCCCACTGCACCCACACTGGAATTGGGGGTCTTTACCGCATCCTCCCAACAGTGGCATGCCCTCTCTTGAATACCTAAACTGACAGGGAGCTCATCACCCCCGTCCCAGCCCTTCTTGTGGTTGGGAGCCCCCAAGAAGGCTTCCCCAGCTCACCCCATTTTTTGGAGGCCTGGAGGTGCTGGCCACCTTGACCTGCAATGACAGGCCCCTCGGCCAGTCGCCATGTTGTTGGGGTCCCAGGAGGCCCCTGACGGGTGTTCACCATCCCCACAGTGCCTGCGCCTCCTTACACACACGTTCAACAGAGAATACACACACAGCCATGTCTGCATCAGCGCCAGTGAGAGCAAGGTGGGTGCCCTGACTCACAGCCCCTCGCCAGCTTCCCGCCGCCCTGGGGCTGAACGCCCTGGAGTCTGGGCTCAGCTGCGCCTTCCCCACCCCCACCCGGTGTGGTCCTCACTGCTCTTTGGGTCCCTACATCTGCGAGTCCCTGGCGGGGCTATGAGACCCTGGGGGAACAGGGAAGGGGGCGCCTGTGGTCAGGGTGGCAGCGTCCCAAACAGGAGCTGAAGTGCCAGCCAAGGGGCAGGAATCGGCCACTGCACGGGAGTCCCCACCCTGAGGACCCAGGGACTGTCCCCTCTCTGTGTCCCCCCCAAAAGACGCTCTCCCTTCCACAGCTCTCTGAGATGTCGGTCACCCTGTTGCGGGACCCATCCGTGTCCCCTCTGGGGGCAGCCACGCTCACCCCCTCCTCCACCTGCCCCTCCTTGGTCGAAGGGCCGTACGGAGCCGGAGCCGCCGACCTGAGGTGAGTGAGCCCAGGCTCCGGAGCAGCATGCGGTGCCCAGAGCCGCTGACAATGGCTGTGCCGCGGGGCTCAGGGGACTGGCGCCTCGGGATGGACCCCCAGGTCCTGTGGGCCTGCCCCGCACCCACCCGCAGACCCGTGGGAACATGGTGTCCCAACCTTTCTGGGCCTGTTTCTGCCAAGGCCTACACTTGGTCAGCCGTGAGTCAAAGCAGGAAGGGGTCAGAGCAGCCCAAAATGAGAAACCCCTTCAGGGTGGTGCTCGTAGAATAGCGAGGACCTGTGGGGAACAGAGCTTAGGGGAGCGCGGAGCGAGCTGGCCCTGTGAACAAGGACGCAGGCAGCTGGGAAGGGACCCATCGCCAACGCCGCAAATACCACCCTCCTCTGTCTGAGCGTCCGATTTTAAAATCCCCCCACGTTTCTGAATGTTCTTCTTACAACTTAAAAAATGGCATTGAGCCCTGTGGCGTCCACCCTGAGACAGGCCTCCTGGCCCCCCAGGTCCTGTCACGTGGGCCTCAGGGTGCCAGGGGCCAGCTGCTCCGTCTGCACGGATGGCCCCTGAGAGCGTCAGGTCAACTTCAGCTCAATTTTGGAGATGACAAGTCGCTGCAGCCACCTTTGCGAGGGTGACAGGGGAGGGGCAGAAGGCGCCACGGCAGAAGGGTGTTGAACCCCTTGCAGCTGGGACCCTCCCCACCGCGCCCAGCACAACCCTGGAATCAGGCGGCAGGTGCCGTGGGCAGGTGGCTGGAGGGCCCGCAGGGCGCTCTGCTGGGGAGCCCAGGGGTGGTCCCTGGCCCAGGGAAGGGGCTCCAGGCGGGAGTGTAGCAGCTTCAGTCACCCCTCTCCCAGGACCCCCCAGCCCAGCTCCCCGCCCGCCAGTCCGGAGCCGGAGCCCCTGCCAGAGGCAGATTCCAAGAAGCCCCCCTCGCCTGCCCTGGTCCCGGAAGCAGACAAGGAGCCCCGGCGCCTGCTGGTCCCCGACATCCAGGAGATCCGGGTCAGGTGCGCAGGCGCTGCCCCACATGGGCTCCCAAGGCGTCCACAGCCAGCCCGTCCCCTGACCTTGGCAGGACGGACAGAGCCGGGGCCCAGGCCCGTGATGCAGAGTGGGGCTCTGCAGAGACACTTGTAACACGTCTGCAGATGGCCAGTGCGGCCACTGTGCCTCTGTCCTCCGGCCCTGGCCGCTGTGAGACGCCCCGGGGGCGGGTCGTGGTCATGGGCAGGTTGGGGCAGCTTCGGGTTTTTTAAAGCTTCTCCATTTCACAGCTAAGGACTGGGGCTCAGGGACAGGTTGGGACTGTGGCCTCCCACCTCCTGGGTGGGGGTCCCGCCGGGCCTGCTGCCTCAGGCTCGGCTCTTCCTCTGGAAGAGGACATCAGGAGGCCCACGTCCTGACCTGTGCCGTGGAGGCACGGTCGGTCGGGAGGGGATGCCCACTGGTGCCAGGAGGGCTCGAGCGAGCAGATGTCCGTCCTGCAGCCCCATCGTCTCCAAGAAGGGCTACCTGCACTTCCTGGAGCCGCACACGGCCGGCTGGGCCAAGCGCTTCGTGGTGGTGCGGCGGCCCTACGCCTACATGTACAACAGCGACAAGGATGCCGTGGAGCGCTTCGTGCTCAACCTCTCCGCCGCCCAGGTGGAGTACAGCGAGGACCAGCAGGCCATGCTCAAGGTGCGGCGGCGGCGGTGGCAGGGGAGGGAGGGCGGGGCAGGGCGGGGGAGGGCGGGGCGGCCCCGGGGGCGGGGCGGCGCATGCTCACCACGCAGCGCCCCCCGCAGACGCCGCACACCTTCGCGGTCTGCACGGAGCACCGCGGCATCCTGCTGCAGGCGAGCAGCGACAAGGACATGCACGACTGGCTGTACGCGTTCAACCCCCTCCTGGCCGGGACCATACGGTACGCCGCCTCGGACCTGCGCGGGGTTCCCGCCTGCGCTGGGCCCAGGGAGGGCGCAGGCCTGGGGGCACCCCGAGGCTGTTGGTGCGCGCGGCTGGGTGCGACTGTTCCTGCAGGGACTGGGCAGCCCCCCACATCCCGTGATTTACAGGGATCGCAGTGACAGGAGGCAGAGGTCACGTCCCTCGGGAAATCCGGGAACCAGAGGGCCCAGGCCATAGAGCGGCGGGGGCGGCTGTGGCTTCTCCTCTGCCGACGCCCCCTGACCTCTGCCTCCTCCCCCAACCTTCTCACAGCTCCAAGCTCTCCAGAAGGAGGGCTGCCCAGATGAGGGTCTGAGCGGAAGACACCTCACCCTCCCGACACCCGGTGGGCCCAGCCTGGCCCTCGCCATCCGTCTGTCTTCGCCCCAGCCCTCCCCACCACTGGCCGACCAGGCCCCCCCCCCCCCCAGGGACGCGGAGCTGGCCGTTCGACCTGTCCCTACGGACCTATCCTGTCCTGCTCCAGCGGAAGCCCCGTTTGTTGTCATTTCTTCTCTGAGATGTGCCCTGGGGGGGAAGGGCTGGGAGATGCTGGGGGGGCTGGAGGGCCCAGTCAGGGGGCATCGCTGACATTCTAATATTTTTTTAAGCATAGACAGACTTATAATTAATATACAGTAGTTAGCGACAGGGAGACAGTCCTCTCAGAAATTAACTCTAAGACTGTGTTCTATTTATAAGTATTTATTTCTAACGACCTGTAGGATTCAGAGGAACCCTTCCCGCTTGTTCCCACACGCATCCCCCAAGCCTCTAAGGGACAGACAGGCTGGGCAGCCGCCTCGGAAGACCTCAGGGAGGCTGGCGCCTCCGGGGCAGGCCCTCGGCCTGGGGTTTGTGCCTGCGTCCAGGGCCCTGCTGCCGGATGGCCCTGCAGCCTGAAGAGGGCACCTCTGGTGCCCCCGCTGGTTGTACCTCTGGTGGGAGGTACAACCTGCATCTCACCTGCACGCAGCCAGCAGGACACAGGGGAGGCCAGTGGGGGCCGGGGCCCTGGGAGGCCCGGGAGAAGGGGCCACATCCCACGGCGGTGTCCTGTGTCCGGGCAGCGTTACAGGGAGTGTGGGGTGATGGCCCAGGCAGCGGGGGCTTGTGATGCAACCTCTCCAGCTGCTGTGAGAAGTGGGGAGAGCGCAAGGCTGCTCCCGGGGAGAAGGTCTGACTCCCCCTTTGCCCCCAGAGAAGAGGACTCCTGGGAGGGGCAGTCGGACACTGCGGGGCAGGTGAGGGTGCCTGGTACTGGGTGGGCCTTCCCTGCTGGTTGGAGGCTGTAGCCTTGATGGTTCCGGCCTTGGTACAATGCCCACTCGGTCTCCTTGGCAGACCCCATGCCTGTGGGTCTCCCAGGCCGGCAGAGGAATCAGCCCAGCGCAGAGTCAGACCGCATGTCCTGCCTAGGTGTTAAGCCCATCAGAGAAACCAGGGGGCCTGGAGGGTTTTCTGTGACCTGTTCCCACAACCAGAGGCACATTTGGCATCTTTCTAGCTCAAAAACAAAACAAAACAAAGCAACACCGTAAAACTGTCCCCACTGTGCCTGGCCCAGAGCCACGTCATCCGGCCCCAGGTGCATGCCCAGCCTTGCTGTCCATGGCATTTCTGGCGCCTTCCAGCCCCCTGCCCACCCAGCCTGGCACAGCTCACAGACGCCTGCCCCCCACCTGGCTGGGAGGGCCCCAGCTCAGCCTGGAGACCATGGCTCTGAGACCCTGCTCTGTCCCACACCGTCCTGTGTGGTGGCACTGACGTGACAGGGATGTCCTCCCAGTTCGGGCCTGGAGACTAGACTGTCCCCAGCATCTCTCCCCTGGGGATGTGACGTGTTGGCTCCTACCTGAGCCACAGGTCGGGGTTTTCCGTGGGAAGGTGGCTTGGCCCGTGGTGGCAGGCGTGTCTGCATCCACCAGCCGCGTGTGCCGCTGGGAGCTGACAGCACCTTTCCGAACCTGCGCTCCGGCGAAGCGCGGGGCGGCCCCCGAGGCGCCCTGCCACCCGCGGGCCCCGGGCCGTCTCCTCCTGGAGATGCCGTTGGTCCATCAGGGCCCGGACGGTGCCCGGTAAAACGCAGGCTCAGCTGCTGTCCTTGGAGGTCCCAGGCGAGGGTCACTTCCTGAGCTGGACGCAAGCATTTTCCAGAAACAGGCCTGGGCTGCCCTCCACAGATGCTCCAGGAGGTGGTGGCTGGGACGAGGACTCGTCCTGGCCTTTACGACAGTCCTGTGGCAGGGAAAAGAGGCTGGGGCGGCACGTTGTTCCGAGACGGTCAGGCTCCCGAGAGCCCGGCCCCGACCCCCTCAGGTCAGCCAGCCTGAGGACTGCCCCCCGCGCACAGGTGCCTGAGGCCAGCCAGCCCGCAGAGCACCCGATGTGTGGGCCGAGGGAAGGGGCCCCCTCAAGGGTTCCTGGGAACCACCCCAAGTTCAGGAGCCTCCACGACCATGGAGGCCCCGGGAGGGTTTTGTTTTGGCCTGGAGCCATCTCGGCCGTGCTGCAGAGCCGGGTATGGGCCGCCTGGTGTCCCCTCCTTGGCCTGCTGCCCTTGTAGGGCCTGGCTGGGGTCTGCACACCCAGGGCTGCTGGGCAGGAAACCCGTGCAGAGTCAGGAAGCCTGGTCTCCCCGCCTGAAACTCCCCACAGGTCACGTCAGCTGGGACAAGTCGTTCAACAAGCTGGGACTCAGTTTCCACGTCCGTTAAGTGAGGCTGGTCGGAAGCCCCCGAGGGTCCTGCCCTTGTGGGGTGCAGTGAACAAAGTCCGGCTGGGCTGAGGCTGCTGCTTCCCCTCAGTGGGGAAAGGGAGAGGGTCCAGAAAGCCCCCCTCTCGGGGTGGTGGTGTCTGAAGGCTGGGTGCTGCTCCTGCCGCAGCCTCGTTTTGTGTGAGGCACGGCCGTCCTCAGCTGCCGAGGGCTCTCTGTCCCGGGCGGGGGTGGGTAGCTCTGGGGAGAGGCCCCAGGGGGTGGAATGTGGGCTCCAGTGGCCCGTCCCGCTTCCAGGGGCTGCTGGGATGCTCGGAAGTGGCAAGGCCCCCACTCTGAAGAGTCACTCATAAGACGGCAGTGTTCCTTTCACCGCCACACACACGTGCTCGCACACACAGGCACACACCCCCTGTCCTTCGGCCCCCGGGGGTCGGGTGTGAGGAGGCGTGAGCGAGGCAGCCACGCTGCTGCTCCTAACAGCCGCCGTGGCTTCTTCCCGGGCCTGTCTGCCCTGTGGCTGCCTGTCCCCTGAGGTCCCCTGTGGCTTGCACCTGCGTGGTTGTGTGGCACACCCGCCCCTGCTCCGTGACCTCCATCCTGATGTAGCAGCCCCGCTCCCTGACGTCCTGAACCGAGTGTTAGGCTGTAGGCCCTGTGCTGTGTGTGTCCAGCTGAAAATAAACGCGATCCTTACAAAGCACCCGACTGTGGGCCTATTCTGTTTGTCCTCACCTGCAGTGTCTGTCGGTGGAGCTGAGAACGGTCACCGGCCGGGCAGTCGGCGCTGCCAGGGACAGCACCAGCCTCCCCTGGGGTGATGCGGTGGGGGGTGAGCCTTGGGGCGGGAGGAACAGAGGGTGTTGATGGTGAGAGCCCTGCCCACCTCCCTCCACACCTGGCTGCGGCCCACGTCTTTCAGCAGGTGAGTGGCTGAGCCGTCCGGTCCATCCCTCTGTGAGCCGCTGAGTGTGGATGCTTGTGGGCACTCCATGTCTGAAGGGGACCCTGGGCAGGCCCCCTCTTATGTGACGGCCTCAAAAGGACCGGGTGGTGTAGGAGAACACGCTAGTGGTCCCCAGGGACCGTGGTCTGGGTGTGACCTGGGGACTTTTTGGGTGACAGCACAGCTTTGTCCCCCAATGACGATGCTGGCGCCATGAATCCACACACATTCTAAATTCCCAGGGCTGTACATGGACCGGAAACTTAGGTCACTATCACTTCTGATAACGTCTAAAATTAATGTTTTCTTAAAAAAGCAAGTTAAGGAAAAAAGTGCAATGTTTTTAAAAAGTTTGGAACATCTATAGGAAAAAAAATAAACCTGAGGTTGTATTCAAGATGAACTCAAAAGTAGCTTTGGGGTATAAATGTGATTCAAAGGCCATAAAACTTCTGGGAGAAAGACTCTGTGGCCCTGGAGGTAAGAAAGATTTCACAGGAAACAAAACCCCAGTCCATGAAAGAAACGAGACACGGCAGAGGCCGTGGGCAGAACGACCTGACACCCGGCAGGCGCTGCGGAGGGACAGGAAGGCCACTGAGGGCACGCAACTGAAGGAGGACCCGCGTCCAGCGTAGATGGGAGTCCTCACGACTCGGGAACCAGACAGAGGGCCACCCAATTTCCAACATAAAATCCGGAGGGGGCGACGGGGGCTGGGGAGAGGAAAAGAGACGTGAGAGCGCCCCCGATGGATTCCGATCTCCCTAAAGACATAAAAGCGTTCGGTGACCCCCCAGGGCCCGTGAAGAATCCGGCAGTCCTGAGTCCCATCCTAACCCGGAGAAAAGGCTGAATAAACAAAAGTCACTGAGTTTTCTGGCACCCAACAGAAAATCAAGGGTGCAGGGCAGGCTGCACCCCCAACCTGGAGTGACAAGCGTGGACTCACGGCTGAGACCTGCTTCCCCGGAGCAGACGTAGCTAGAGCTGTGGCTGGCCGTGGGGGCAGACGCAGGCCAGCTGGCCGCCGGAAATTCCAGGACCCTCACCCAGTCATGGGTTTTACCACCAGGAGCCCCAATGAGTTCTCACACTGGGGTGCAAAGACCAATTTCGGGGGAAGAAGAGAAATGGCCATGGCCTGCTCCTGGAGCTCCCTCCCCAGCAAAGCCTTCTGGGGCAGGGGCCAGTCAGAAATCCAGGGAACTCCCTCGACTTGGCAAAGAGACCTGCAGAAGTCCTACCCTGATGACACACTCAGTGACCGGACCCTGGAGGGCCCCCCTCAGGGGGACAAGGCCAGGGTGTCCCCTCAGCAGTCCCAGGCAACTCTGTGCTGGAAATGCAAAGGGCAGCAGGACATGAAAAGGAAATGGGTTGGGGAGGAAGCAGGAAAGCTCTTTGCGATGCCCAGATTGCCTGTGAAGCCCTGGCCGGGTGGCTCAGTTGGTTGGAGCACCATCCCATACGCCAAAAGGTTGTGGGTTCAATCCCCAGTCAGGGCGCGTGCCTGGGACGTGGGTTTCATGGCCAGTCCAGGAGCATGCTGGAGGCAGCCGATTGATATTTCTCTCTCTCACTGGCTTACTTTCTTTTCCTCTCTCTAAAATCAATAAACATATTCTCAGGTGGGAATTTAAAATGATTGTCTATGAAGACAATCCCAAAGAACTGACAAAAACAAAGACCAAAAAACCCTGGAACTAACAGGGTTTGCAGCGAGGTCCCAGGACACAAAGCTAGTACACAGAAGTCAGTGCTTTCCTATACCTCAGCAATAAGCTGTTAAAAACACCATTTTGGATAGCATCAAAAAAGATGGACATGAATAATCAAACAATACACACAGGATCTGCATGCCAAAAGTTACAAAACATGGAAAAAATGAACCAAAGATGATCTAAACAAATGGAGAGGCCTGTGCTCATGGATTGGAAAACTCAATACTGGGAAGATGTGAGCTCTTCCCATTGGACCCATAAGTTCAGTGCAGTTCCCTCAAAATCCAGCAAACTAACCAGATGTGGACGCACTGAGTCTGAAGTTTACAGGGAAAGGCAAAGGCCCCAGAACAGCCCACGCAACACTGATGGAAAACCGAGTCAGACTCACGTTACCCAACGTCAGGTCTTACTGGAAGCTTTCGCAACTCAAGCCAGGGTGGGTGGTCTTGGCAAAAGAAGTGGCAAAGGGGGACTTCCGGCCAAGACACCCTGTGCCTCCTCACACAACCAAAAGAAGGACAACAACAATTTAAAGACAAAAAACAACCACAACTGACAAAAAAATTGAACTGTATGGAAGTCCGACAACCAAGGAATTAAAGAAACACCCAGGCACAGGTAGGAAGAGCGGAGACCAGTGCGTGGAGAGGACTCGCAGCAAGGCAGTGGCTGGAGAACCAGAGCAGGCAAAGCTGCAGCTGGCTGGCCAGGCTACGGTGGTGGCTGATGGAGTGGGCAGTCCCACATTCGTGCACAGATAAAGCAGGAGGAGCAATCGGGGAGCGAGACAGACCGAGTAACCCAGAGCTCCAGCGCAGGGAAGTGAAGCCTCAAACCATCGATTGAAAACACCTGTGGGGTTGAGGCGACAGCAGGAGAGACTCCCAGCCTCACAGGGGAGTCTGTCGGAGAGACCCACAGGGTCCTAGAATGTACACCAACCCACCCACTGGGAACCAGCACCAGAAGGACCCAATTTGCTTGTGGGAAGCGGGGGAAGTAACTGAAATCTGGCAGAGAGTGGAGCAAGTGCCATTGTCTCAGACCCCTCCCCCACGTACGGTGTCACAACCCAGTGACGTGGGTTACCCCTCCTGGGTGAGCACCTAAGGCTCCACCCCTCGCTACATAACAAGTGCATGAAGACAAAGAAAAATGGCCCAAATGAAAGAACAGATCAAAGCTCTAGAAAAAAATACAACTAAGTGACAAAGAGATAGCCAACCTATCACATGCATAGTTCAAAACATTGGTAATCAAGATGCTCACAGAATTGGTTAAATTTGGTTGCAAATTAGGTGAAAAAATGAAGGCTATGCTAAGTGAAATAAAGGAAAATGTATAGGGAACCAATAGTGATGGGAAGGAAACTGGGACTCAGATCAATGGAGTGGACCACAAGGAAGAAAGAAACATCCCACCAAAAAAAAAAAAAATGAAGAAAAAAGAATTCGAAAAAGTGAGGAGAGGCTTACGAACCTCCAGGACACTTTTCAATGTTCCACCATCCAAATTATAGGGGTACCAGAAGGAGAAGAGGAAGAGCAACAAGTGGAAAAGTTATTTGAACAAATAATAAAGGAGAACTTCCCCATTCTGGCAGAAGAAATAGACTTCCAGGGAAATCCAGGAAACTCAGAGAGTCCCAAAGAAGTTGGACCCAAGAAGGAACACACCAAGGCACATCATCATTACACTACCCAATATTAAAAATAAGGAGAGAATCCTAGAAGCAGCAAGAGAAAAGGAGACAGTCACCTACAAAGGAGTTCCCATTACACTGTCAGCTGATTTCCTAAAAGAAACCTTGCAGGCAAGAAGGGGCTGGAAAGAAGTTTTCCAAGTCATGAAATGCAAGGACCTACATCCAAGATCGCTCTATCCGGAAAAGCTTTCATTTAGAATGGAAGGACAGATAAAGTGCTTCTGAGATAAGGTCAAGTTAAAGGAGTTCATCATCGCCAAGCCCAAGTTCATATAATAAACATGAAATGTTAAAGAGGTTTATCTAAGAAAAAGAAGATAAAAATATAAATGGTAAAATGACAGCAAACTCACAACAATTAACAACCACACCTAAAACAAAAACAAACAACTAGAACAGGAACAGAACCACAGAAATAGAGACCACATGGAGGGTTATCAGCAGGGGAGGTGGAGGGGGAGGGAGGGGGGAAAAGGTACAGATAATAAGAAGCATAGATGGTAGGTAGAAAATAGACGGGGGAGGGGTTAAGAACAGTATAGGAAATGTAGAAGCCAAAGAACTTATATGTACGACCCATGGACATGAACTAAAGGAGGGGAGTGTGGGTGGGAGGGGTGTGCAGGGCAGAAGGGAGTGAAGGGGGGAAAGTGGGACAACTGTCATAGCATAGTCATTAAAATATATGTAAAATAAAAGAATAGGCAGGGGGTCAGTGGGGCAGAACTGGGAGCCCAGCAACAGTCCCACACGCGTAGTCGCGGTCTTGACCGAGGAGAAAGCCGGTGCAGCAGAACGCGGCCGTCTCTGCGACCCGAGGTGCTGGAGCCATGGGGAGCCCGCGTGTCGAAAAGAAAAGAAAAAAAAATGAATCTAGTTTCAGATCGTACACTTTTCACGAAAGTTGAGAAGCTAAGTCAAAATGGATCTTAGACCTAAATGTAAAGCACAAAACTATAAAACTCCTGGACATACTTTTCAAAAGACGTTCAGAAAATGACCAGGCACTGGGAGAAGATACTCGCAAAACCACCACAGGACAAAGCACTTGTGTCTGGAATGTGTCGGAGTAAAAGAAGAATCAGTGAAGCTCAGTAACGAAAAGATACACACTTAATTAAAAAATGAGCAGTATTTGAATGACCAAAAAGCTTATGAGATGGGCTCAACATCAGCCGTCCGCAGGGAAATGCAACCTAAACCATGAACAGGGGAATGAACACGCGTGTGCACCTTCACACACCCAACTCTCATCACAGGACACACACAGGACGCACGCCGGCCCCCAGGGCAGAGTCGGGGCCGTGCCACTGACCGACGCGTCCACCCGCCCTGTGACCCAGGCATGTCCTGTGTCTGCGAAGATTTACCCAAAAGTGCTCAGGGCGGCTTTCCTCGTGTCAGGAAAAACCAGAAAGACCCTCACCCTCCACCATCAGCAACACGGACAAGCAACATGGACACACGGCTGTGGTCTTCCTCAGGTGGAGTGTCGCCCGGCAGCAAACAGGAACAGGAGCGGGGCGCCCGTCACAGACGTCCCGTGACGTCCCCGTCCACCGGAAACGCGAGCCTGGTAACGGGAGTCAGGAGCGCGGGCGAGCGTCAACAGGAAGGAGCGCCAGGGGCCTCCGGGGCGAGGAACGGTCCTGTCTTGGTACTGGCGTGGGTTCCCGGGTGTACGCGTTTGCCGCAAGGCGTGGAAAAGACCTCTGATGACTGACCTGCTTCGCTTTAAGTTTTACATAAAAATCAAAGAGTCTGCAAATAAAGAACAAATTGACCTGGATGCTCCGAGTGGATAACAACTCCGGCCCCGAGGCTCGCGAGCGGGGCCGCGGCGGTTCGTGGCCTGCTGGCACCGGCTGCGGGTTCTGCAGTGAGTGTGGTGGACTCGGGGGCTCCTGTTGGCGTTAACCTCGCCCCTCTGGCGAAGTGCCGGCCCTCAAAGCTGTCTGCTGCCACCACCTGGGAAAGAGCTGGCCCACGTCCTCCCCGCCGTGGCCCCTCTCCGGTCTCCGTCTTCCTTCTGTGCAAGGGGGTCGAGTTAAAAGAGTAAAAACAAATGGGACAGAGTGAGAGGGAGGGGCGGGCAAGCCCCGGTGCCGCAACGAGCGCAGGCCGCACTGGGTGGACCCCGCACCTGGGCCGCATGCCACAGCACCCAGGGAGGCCAGCCCAGAGCAGGGGTTGAGGGTCAGCAGGGCGGCCGGGGTGCGGCTGGAACAAGGCCGGGACTGAGATGCCCCCAGGGGACGTCCGGCTCAGCACCTTCTCCACAAGCCTCCGCTCAGCTGGACGCTCAGGAGGGAGACTCACACCAGCGCTGCAGGCCTTGTCCCCACCTCCCCGGCCCCTCTGGACCGGAGGGCCATGGCCCAGCAGCGTTCTCCGGAAAGGGGCCCATTCCGCGCTTGGGTGGGGCGTGTGGTGGCGTTCACAGGTGGCCCCCGCTCGCCGAGGGCCCGGCCTCTCCTCTGAGAGCCTCGTGTTCTGGGGTCAGAGTGAAGCTCCGAGCTCCCTGCTGGCTGCTTCGCTTTCATAGAAAAGCACTTACGTTTGTCTGAGCTGCCGCGCAGACCAGCCGCCCTGTGTGGCCAGGTGGGCCTTTCTGCCCTTTCAGATTTGGGGGTGCTCAGAGCAGCCCTGCTGGGGCCCCCTGGTTTCCTTGTGGGGGAGGCCTGGCCCCCAGATGGCTGCCTTCATGGAGGGCACTGGTGGCACGTGGCCCCAGTGCAGGCAGTGCCGGGGACCCTCGCCCAGGTGGGGATCCGGCCCAGGAGCCGGGAGCTGCCAGGCCGTGGAGCCAGGAGCCTGGGTGTGAGTCACAGTGCTTGATGGAGGCTTTGAAGAGCTGTGTGTGGCCCGTCTGGGCCTTGGGCAGGTGGGGCGGGGCGAACGTCCTGGCGAGCCGCTGGCCCCAGGGGAGAAGCTGTGGGCGTTCCCGGCTCTGCTCCTGCGCCGGCCGCAGGTGGGTTGGAGGTGAGGGTGCAGCTGTGGTGTTCCCAGGGCTCCAGCCCAGGCGGACATGTCCACGGCTTCCTCACCCTCGTGCCTGGGGTGGGCCAGGCCTTGACACGTCAGCTCAGGTCCCCCGCTCAGTCTGGCTCCTAGCAGAGCCCCTGGGCCGATGGCTGGTCTGAACGTGTCCCTGTCATTCTTCTTGGCCACCGTCGCCCTCTGCCAGGCGGCCAGGAGGGCGTCCAAGGCCCTGCTACCCACAGGCATCTACACCGGCTTCGCCCGGGAGGTGGCCGGCGCCGCCCAGCTGGGGGCTTGCTGCCTGGAGATGCGAGTGCTGGCGGAGCTGGGCCCCTGGGCCGGGGGCTTCGGGCCCGACCTGCTGCTGACCCTGCTGTTTCTGCTCTTCCTGGTGCACGGGGCCACCTTCGACGGCGCGTCGGCCAACCCCGCGGTGGCCCTGCAGGAGCTGCTCCTGGCCGAGGCCGCGCTGCCGGGCACCCTGCTGAAGCTGGCGGCCCAGGCGCTGGGTGTGCGGGCGGCCTGCTCCGTGACCCGGCTGTACTGGGCCTGGGAGCTCAGCGACCTGCACGTCCTGCAGAACCTCATGGACGCCCACTGCAGCTCCGCCCTGCGCACGACCGTGCCCCTCGGCGCGCTGGCGGAGGGCGCCTGCGCCTTCTTCTTCCACCTGGGCCTCCTCCGCCTCCGGAGCAGCCGGCCCCTCTACAGGGTGCCGGCCGTGGCCCTGCTGGTCACCGTCATGGCCTACACAGGTGAGACCCGGGGTCCCCACCAGGTGCCCTCGCACCTCTGCCCCGGGGCCGCTGGCCGAGGGGGCGGCCACCTCCTGGGATGCTGGGGTGGGGTGATGGCCAGCTGGGGTGGACACAGCCGGAGGGTGGCACCAAGGCCCCCTCAGGACCCTCCTTGCTGGCTGGGCCTCTCCACAATCCCACATCTTCACGTCCACCCCAGAAGGTCTACGCCCGGGCTTGGGGGGCGGGGGGCAGTGCCGCTTCTCCAGGACCCGGCCCAGGCTCAGTCACCCCTTTGGAGGCCACCAGGGGCTGACGTTTCTTCCTCACCCGTCTTCCCCTACCCTCTTGGCACCAATGCTTACCCCACCCTGAGGTGGCAGCAGACTCCCGACCCCTCTTTGGGGTCACGCACCCCTCCCAGGTGAGCTTCCTGACCACATCCTCCTGGGGTCCCTCAGGCCCAGTGGGAGCTGCCCTGGGCCTTCGGCCGCGGCCTCAGCCAGCGCCCTGTTCTGCGTTCGGTTCTCAGAAAAGGTCTCCTGTCCTGGGGTCCCCTACGAGGGCTGCCCCCACATGACAGGGGCACCATTCCCACCTTCAAGGAGAAGCAGAGAGCCAGTGACTAGGGGCCTCACATGCCGGCTGCCCTGGGTGGGGTCAGAGCCGGGTTGGGCCCCGCCATCGGTCTGTCCGGGATTTGCTCCCTAGGAGGGTGCCTGCTGGCTCCCACAGGCCCTGGGGGTGGGGTCAGGCAGGATGGCAGGACCTTCCAGGAAGATGGCCAGGGCGCCTCCTGTGTGGGCGTGAGGGGCACCCATGACCGTGGACTGCAGATCGGTCAGCCTGCGGTCAGTCGGGCTCCGGGCAGGGGAGACAGGGCAGGAAGGGGCCGAGGCCGAGCACCCCCATCTCCACGTGGGGCGTCCGGTGAGGGCAGAGCCTCCCCCGAGGGCTCACCGCCCACGTCGCCGACCCCCACTCAGGGCAGGCACGCACTGTGCGCTGCCACAAGGGCTGTGCACAGGAGGGACCCGAGGCTCAGCTGAGCTGTGGGGGGTGGGGGGACAGTGCTTTGCAACCAGAGGGCCTGCATTCCTGCCCCGGGGTGACCCGCCTGGTGCCTCCCTCAGAGCCAGCGCCCCACCTAAGCCCGGCCTGCGCCCACCACCTCCGGGCTCAGCTACCTGCCCTCCCCGAGGCCCAGACCGGCTGGGGAGGGCCCTGCTCACTGGGGAGGGAGGTCTGCAGGTCTGGGGCCCAGGCGTGCCGGCCCGGCCCTGGCTGCGGGTCCGGACCTCCCCTCGCCCTCCAGTGCAGTGCGACCCTGGTGTGGCCCGGCCCGTCTCTGTGGTTCTGCCTGCCTGTGACTGTCCGTCTGTCTGTCCCTCAAAGGCCACCGCCCTGGAGGCGGGAGGTGTTGGAAAAGGGGTGGGGGAGTTGAGTTCCCCCAGTGACAGGGGTCAGAACGGACGCTGGATGTCCCTGGAGAGACTCGCTGAGCTGCTCCCTAATCTCAAAGCCAAGGGACCCCCCTGCCCTGGCCCCTCGCCCCCGCAGGGGGTAGAGGAGGGGCTGAGCCAAGGGCAGGGCCTCACCAGGCTGGTCTGTGCTTCCCCCACAGCGGGGCCCCTCACGTCTGCCTTCTGCAACCCCACCCTGGCTGCCTCCGTCACCTTCCACTGCGAGGGACACACCTTGCTGGAGTACGCCCAGGTGTACTGGCTGGGCCCTCTGACAGGTAAGGGCCCACAGGGCCCACTGTGGTCCTGTAGGAGCTCATGGTCGGGGGGCAGAGACAGACAACATCCCTGCAGCTGAGCCCTTGGGGTCCAGCTGGTGGGTGGGGTCCATTCAGGGACTGCTTCCTGTCGGAGGGGTCCTGAGGGGCGGGGTGGGGGCTGGACAGTGTTCCTAGGCCGCCGCCACTCACCGGGCCTGAGGGCTCCGCCCTGCGATCCAGACACCGAGGCTGCTCCTCAGTCTGGCTGGCGACCCCTCCCTTTCCACCCTGGGGGAGGGGCCGCCTGAGTTTGGACTTCGTCACAGACTGGGCCCCTGGAGGGGACGGGACGATGCCAGCTGTAGGGCTCCCCATGTCCCCTGCGGGGATCCTCACAGCCAGCCAGCCTCCGCCTCCGGGAGGAGGCCTGGGGAGAAAGTGGCCGGACAGGCTCCACCGGTGCCTCTGGACTCTGACGCAAAGCATGCTGGGCCCAGGTCCCCAGACTGTGGTCCGCAGGATCACAGGGACTCCCGGCGGCTCATCCCCATCTCCCGGGTAGACACCCTGGAGGAAGGGCGTGGCTGGGAAGAGCAGGGTCCAGGAGAGGATCCCCCCCAGGTGTGCGGCTCCCCCATCCCGGGAGGGCCCGCCGTGTGTGCGCCCGGGTGGCCTTCAGTCGCGCATGAGCCCCAGGGCCCGGCGGTCTGACGCTCAGTCTCCTGCAGGGATGGTGCTGGCTGTCCTGCTGTACCACGGCCACCTTCCCCGCCTTTTCCAGAGGAACCTGTTGTATGGTCAGAAGAACAAGTATCGGGTCCCCAAAGGGAAGCCTGCCATGGGACCTGAAGACACCCGGACGCCCGCTCAGGCAGGCAGAGGCCGGGAGCCTGGGCGGCGGGGGCCTGCGAGACCGCCGCTGGGCTCCGGCTGAGTGGACGGGCTCCGAGTGAGCTCCGCAGAGGGCCAGGCCGCTGGCTGGACCCGGGGCCTCCCTGGGTAGAGGGGCACCACCACCCCCACCTCCTCCCCCCAAAACTGCTCCTCAATAAACCGTCCTCAGACCTGCCCGACAGGGAAGCACAGGGCGGAGACTGGTCTGTGTCACCTCCGTCTTCCCACTCGGTCTGCCCGGCCTCTTCTCAGAGTCAGAGCGGGGCCGGGGGAGGACCTGAGGGGGAGCCCGAGGCGGAGCTCTCCCCAGCGGGCTCCTGGATGCCCCAGGCACCCCGGCAGCCCAGCCCGGGCCGGGGCACTGAGTGGCGCCAACACGCTGGACCCTGGGGGGGACGTCGGGGGAGGTGTCTGGGGCCCAAGGCAGCGGGGGAGCGAGCCAGACACAGGCCCTCACCCGCCGCATCCTGAGCCTCGGGGAGGCCAACGGCAGGTTCTCAGACGCAGACAGACCCTCGCCAACCCTGGGGCCTTCCGGGAGGACCCCAGCTTCCCCCCGGCTGGAGGGGCCGTAGCCGCCTTCTCCCCGCAGGCGAGGGGACAGAGTCTCCTCAGCTCGGGTCCTGGGAACCCCCAGCCGCAGGCCCCACCCTCTCTTCCAGCTGAGAAGGGACAGGTCCTGGTCACCCACCTGGGCTTCCAAGGAGGCAGCGGAGGAGGGAGAGACCCCCCCCTTCCATGGCTCCCTGACCGCCTGGCGGTGCCTCCTCCCTCCCGTGGGCCTGACGGGGTGGGGCAGAGGCTTCCAGACAGAGGTGAGGCACACAGGGCGGTGGCGCCAACCAGCTCCCCTGCGGGGAGGCTCCGCGTGGGCCGGGGCGGAGCTGCAGTGGCACACGGAGCAGAGGCTGTGGGAGGAAAGGGGATCTCCCCAGGAGGCGGCACGGGGCCCAAGGTGGGAGGACGGCCGGCATGTCTGTCCCCACGGAAAGTCCCTTGGCTCCCCACACAGCTGCGTCCACACAGGACGGAAACTGTGGGCGCTCAGACAGTGCATTCTGTGGGTAAATTAGCAGGAGACACCGGGCCCGTGGGCATCGCCGCAGTAAAGCAGGGCACGCAGCCGCCGTTGGAGGTGTGTGAGGGTTGGAGTCTCTATTCCAGAAGACTTCAGCATTGTCGGGAACACTCCACCCTGGCTGGTGTAGCTCAGTGGACTGAGCACCAGCCTGCAAACTGAAAGGTTGCCAGTTTGATTCCCAGTCAGGGCACATGCCCGGGTTGCCCACCAGGTCCCCAGTATGGGGCACACGAGAGACAACCACACATGGATGTTTCTTGCCCTCCATTTCTCCCTCCCTTCCTCTCTCTCTAAAAATAAATAAAGTCTTTTTTTTTAATCAGAAAAAAAAAGAATTTCTTTAAACTCATTTGCAGCTGTGTCCCTTCAACTGGGACCCAGCTCAGAAGACAGAGGCGCCCTGCCGGCCTGGGGCTCGAGCAGGTGCCGAAGGCTTGCAGAGAGGCCCGAGCCGCAGCCGCAGCAGACTTTGGTGTCTGGTTGTGACTCGGAGGTGACAGGAGAGATGAGGGCTCTTTTTCCTGCGACACCCTCCCCAGAATGTCCGGTGCTGGGAGGGTCACCTGGAGTAAACGGGTCACTCTGCACCATCGAGCGCGAGGCGGGACAAAGGAGAGGCTCGGAGGAGAAAGACCCGGGTGGTCACAGCCCTTCAGTGTTGAGGTCAGACCCCACCGGCAGAGGGGGAGCCGGCCCAGGACCCACAGCCTGAGACGGTGCCTCCTCCCACTGCGCCGAGGGCGGCTGCTTCTCACGGACGCTGTGGCTGTGGGACGACAGCGGGTCCAGCGAGCTCCCCCCTATGGCCCTCTCCTGGGTGCCCAGGTCAGGGGGGCCGCAAGCAGCAGTGCCCGACGCCCTCCCTGCAAAAGGCCAGGGCCTGGCGAGCACAGCCCCCGCCTCCTCCTGGAACTCCGAGGCCACAAAGTAGTAGCACACGGCATCCAGGCAGCAGTTGGCATTGGCCATGCGGGAGGCCACCTGCACGAAGGCCGCCAGCCTCTGGACGGTGGGGCAGGCCGCGCCCGTCCACTGGGCCACGAGCTTGGCCAGCAAGGCCACGTGCAGCGGGAGGAAGCAGAGCATGAAGGTGGCCAGGCCGGCTGCCACCACGCAGATGGCCTTGAGAATGGGGGCGGTGGCCGGGGGCTGCGCCCGCGCCCACTGGCGGAGGAGGTGCCGGAGCACCTGGCCGGAGCAGAAGCTCAGGACGACCAGCGGGAGGACAAAGAGGAGCAGGGAGAAGACCAGGGCCCTGGGGCCCCGTGTGCGGCCCTTCCCAAAGCAGAAGCTCTCCCCTGGGCCCAGCCAGGCCGCGGGCAGTGCCACAGCCACGATGACCAGCACCCAGAGGGCCGCACAGGTGAGGGCGGCCTGGCGGGGGCTGCGCCAGGCCCGGGCCCGCAGCGGGAACTTCACGGCAGCGTAGCGGTCGGCGGCGATGGCCGTGAGGAGCCACATGCTCATGTAGGTGTTGATGTAGTAGAAGCTCTGCAGGACCCTGCACAGGGCACCCTCCTGGGCCCCTGGCGCCTGGCCCAGCGTGTGCAGGATCCCCGGCAGGCTCAGCAGCAGCAGGCAGTCGGCCGCGGCCAGGTTGACCATGTAGACGCGGGTCTCCGTCCAGCGGCGCAGGCGGCAGCAGAACACCCAGAGCGCCAGGGCGTTCAGCAGCAGGCCCAGCGCCAGGATGAGGCAGATGGAGGCGCTGGTCGCCACCTGCGACCAGGCGCCCCTGTCTGTGCTGCAGCTGTTGGAGCTGCTGGCGGGGGCGTCGGCCTCCGACACCATGACCCTGGGAGCAGGGAGTGGGAGCAGGGCGGTGGGGGTCAGCAGGCTCAGGAGCTCCTCCTGGGGGGGGAGGCGCTGCAGCCACTCTGTCCTGCCCGCTCCCCTGCCCACTCCCCAGCTTTCTCTCTCTCTCCCCCACTTCCTGTGCCAGTCCCAGGGCTCCCACAAACCTGAGTCAGAGTGCCCCCTCTGCCCCCTTTTCTAACCCCAGGGGCTCCACCGAGGCCCCCCAGACTGAGGACCAGCCACCTGGCCCGCCCCGCCCCACCCAATGGCATCCTGCCAGGCAGGGGCCTCTGCGGCGGTTGCTCTTCGAGCCTCTGGACCAGAGGCTTCAGCTCAACCTGGGACCTTTGCTGGCCTGGGCCTCTGCAAGGTCACCCTGCCCCTGAGCCCTGGGGGCCTGTCCAGGGGCCATGGCCCAGCAGGGGGGCCCTTGGTCCTCCGGGAGGCGGAGCTGGCCTATGCTGTCCTCCAGAGCTCAGGGCCTCCACCCCACACCAGCAAGGTCCTGGGGATGCATGAGGGCCAGCCCCACACCCTGCTTCTGGGAGCCTCTCTGGTGGCCGGCAGGGCAGGGGCGAGACAGGCTTTTCAGAGGGACAGGGTCGACCCGGGGTGGACTCACTGACCTGGGTCAGCCAGGGCCTTGAGGACTCAAGCTGGGGCCCCTCTGTACACAGCCAGGCTGCTCCGCTGGTCACCACCTTCACAGTCTCCTCCAGAAGGTGGGGTCACCCATCCCGTGACATCTGTGCCCAGTGTGCCCCGGCTGCCCTGCCTGCAGTGTGTGGCACCTGCCACCCACCCTTCCTGGCCACATTGCAGCAGCCCAGAGCCCAGGGCCGGATGGAGCGGGGGCGTCCCCGCCTCGCACCCATGGCCGCCTTGGCGGGCGGCAGCCCCTGCTCCCGGACATCTGTGGTTGACACCTGCAGGGGAGCCCTGCACAGGAAGCCCCTGCGGTTCAGGGCGGGCAGCAAGCCCGCCACGCCCGGGAGAACCAGAGACCCTGGACCACCGCCTGGGGGTCCAGGAGCGTGCCCTGTCAAGATGGGAAGGTGTAGTGGACACTGTGGGGCGCTGCCCAGGGACCCCCTCTGGGACAGAAGGGCACACGGCCAGCCAGGACCACAGCCCAGGAGTGCATCTAGTGGCTGTCCTCAGCTGCGCGTCTGATGGCCAGCCCCATGTGGTCAGCTCAGGGTGCCCAGGGCCACAGCAACGGGCCGTCTGCCCTTCCTGCTTCGCTTACCCTGGAAATCCCCGAGTGCAAACCTCCCTCTCAGAGGGGCTCTGAGCCCCCCATTCGGGGCATATTCTGGTTGAGCAGGAGGCGGCCTCCCCCTACCCCACCCCCCACCCCTGTGCAGCAGCCCCGGGGGATGCAGGCCTGAGGCCGGGGCCCGAGGGGCTGGTTGGCTGAGGTGGCCAGGCCACCTGCAGGAGGAAGGGGCCAGAGAGTGGCCGGGGACTCAGCCCCTCTGCTCAGGGGCACTCCCTGGCGGGACCTGGAGAAGGGCAGGCGAGAGGCAGGAGCACTTCCTCATGGAGCCTCACAGTGAGCTGGCGGCTGCCAGCTCCTGGCGCCCCACAGGTGCCCGGCGCTGTGAGGGGCCCTCTTCACAGACCTGGAGCCGGTGCTGCAGGGGGGCACCGAGGTGGCGAAGCTCCGAGGGCCAGGCGGGGCGCCCCTCCGACACCAGGCGGGCGTTGGGGGTGTCTCCTCGTGGTCAGCACTCTCCTGGGGAGAGGGGGCTGGAGGACACCCTTGCTTCCCGGGGACTGACCGGGTACCGTCTAGTCTACACTCCCCTCTCCGTGTGTCATCGGACTTTTATGCTGACGGGGCTTTGGGGAAGTCTGCCGCAGTTTCCTGCTGTGGGCTCCGCATCCCAAGGTGCCCGCCCGAGGCGGCGGGGCAGCCCTGAGGTGGGGTACCCGGGCCAGAGGACCCTTGACGCAGGCAGGAGCAGAGCAGGGGCCGAGGGCCAGGCATGGACGGCATGTGGGAAGTCCCAGGTGCCCAGCAGTGGGTAAAACTGGGAAAACAACTACTTCAGGCTCGGCCCTCACCTGCGGGTGACCTGTCCTTGCCTTTCAAGTCGCTACACCTGCAGCCCAGCCCCCCGAGAGCAGGAGCCAAGGGGCCCCCACGAGCCCTCACAGGACAGCGAGGCTCTGACGGGCACTGGGTAGCCTCAGGAACAAGTCTGACAAGAGACAGGGCCTCGGTCAGAGCAGTGGTGACGTCGCAGTTCAGCTGAGTGTTAGCTCTGCGCCCAGAGAAGCAGCGGCAGCACCCGGTGCAGTGGCACCCTGGCTGACGGTGGGACCATCAGCTGCCAGGACTCAGGCCATCGGTGGGGACCACGGCCCTGTGAGGACGCACCTGGGGTGATGGTGCCCAGTCCACTGAGACCTCCCCTGCGGCCTCCGGGTAAAAGCCCCCACGAGGAAGGGCCCGGCCCAGCGAGGGTGCGTGTGCTCGCTCTCTCTCCCCGTCTCTCACCCCGCCCACACCTTCTCCCCCACCTCCTGCCCCGGGCACACACCTCGCACCTTTGTGTCCTCCTTCCTGAGCCCCAACAGCTGTCTGCTGCCTGTGGACCTCATTCTCTGAGCCCACGCCACCAGCTGGCTCGCTTCCTCCACTTCCGAGACTTTCTAAATAATCCTCCCCTTATAGTTAGAGCTCTTGGCTCTGGGCTTCTTCCTAGCCAAGCTCAAGGACCCAGGTCTAACTACGCCGTGAACACCCGCAGCTCCTGGTTCCCCCACCGTGGCCGTAGGAGGCTGACCCGAGGCCCACAGCGCCTCCTCAAGCCGTCTCCGCTCGCCCCCCAGCACTGCCTCTGACCGACACGCCTTCCCGAGGGGGGCTGGACTCTGTGCTTAGGAGGGACTCTGCTGAGAGCCCCAGGGAGGACAGCTGGGCCCCCCCTCCACGGGCCGCCTTGTCCCCAGACCATCTGTGGCCAGCTGAACCCCAGCACGGACAGGAAGAGGCGTCTTAAAGCGAACTGCCCTGGAAGGAAGACTTAGAGCACCGGCCACACAGATGGCACAGACTGCTGGGGACAGAGGGACATGGCACCGCCCAGGGGCACCTTGGTCTCTGTGTAAGAATCTCTGGCCACTGAGGTTCTGCATGAAGCCCAGCTGCTGATCAGATGCAGTTGGTTCCGGGAAGTTCTCCGGGTCCGCCCCAGCCTGCGTTTGGGCCCGGCCACCACCTAGATCCGTCTGCGCTTTGAGGCTCACCAGTGGCCACCACTTCCCGGGAGTGGCCTCACTCTGAGCTGACCACCCACACTTCCTCTGGCTGTCCCCACGGGTTGGGGCTGCGCAGCCCACAGCAGCGCACCACCCCCAGGCTCACCACCCCCAGGGCGGCTGTGGCCGGTGCGAATCGGTGTCCTGGGCCTGACTCTGTGAAAACCCAGCCGCCTCCACTGTGCCAGGAGCCCCACGGGGCGGGAGGGAGAGGGAGTGCGTGCGCCCCAATCCCAGCCACAGACCAGGGAGGAGCGGCACCCCAGGGGCCAGTGAGGGGGGACCCTGGGCATCCACGGGAGGTGGGTGGGTCATTTGGGGGCTGAGGGCCCCTCCACTGCTGGGTGCAGATGGCACAGCAGCTGCCCCTCTAAGCTCAGCGGGGCCACCGAGTCCTGCTGAGCGCGGGGCTGCATGGTGGCCGCAGCTGCCCTTTCAGTCTACGGCTCTTTTCTGGTGCTGGTCCCCAAGGGCATCTGGGCACCCCCTCCACCGTCTTACGACGCTGAGGCGGTGGGGGGCTTGGCTCCGGAGATGAGTCCCAGGCCCAACTGGCCCGTTTTCCCGATCCCCAAACCTGGCCAAGGACAGGACCAGGTGCACCGACAGCCTCTGAGTGCCATGCGCATTGCCGGCCCAGGGGGAGGCCATTCTGCAGACCCCTCGGTTCCTTGGAAAGCAAAACCCTGGAGGGTGGGGGTGGCAGAGGCCAGGGGCTGGAAACTGTCCCCAGAAGGGTGGGGCTGTGATGACGGGCTTGGAGGGCTAGAGTGGGGCGCAGACACCTGAGGAGACTGGATGGGTGAGGGGGTTTGGGGAGCCCTGGGTGGGGTGAGGGAGGCTGGCCTGCCACCCGGGTGTGGCAGCCGAAGAACAGACAGGGGAGGCTCCGGGGGCCAGGACACGTGGGGGGAGGCCGTGCTGGACTCTGAACCCAGGCCCAGCTGGACCAGCACCCGCAGCAGCCACCGCAGCACTCTGGTCCTTTCAACCTGAGCCTGGACGCCCGGCCGCCACGTCCAGTTCCAGCTCCAGCCACGCTGTCTGACAAAGTCCGACTGTGGGGAATATGGCTTCAAAGAAGCATATTCAGGCCTGGAGGAAGTGGCGTAAGTGGGTAGACAGTGTTGATTCTGTTCTTGCTGGCTCTTGGTGTTCTGACATTAACTTTTCTGATAATTTGGAATCTCCTAGAAATGATGGCCATTCTCAGAGCTGATCAACAACTAGGTCAGACTGAGAAAAATGCCACCTTGGCCTTTCCCCAAAATAATACCCTCTCTGGGGTCCAGAGGAGGAAAGGCCCACGATGTCCAGTGAGTCCAAAGGGAAGAATATTTCCTTCCCTGACCCAGTTAAGCAGATGCAGGACAAGTTAATACTACGCAGCAGGGAGCCAGAGTTACCCAGAGTGCCCCCCAAGTTAATCCCCTCTAATGAAATAGCCCCTGAATATCTAAAAGTTGTTGGAATAACAGCCCCTCCTTTACCTTGAACAGGAATATATGTTAATTAGAATTTAGTAGGCAAAGAAACAGGAGAAGCTTGTTAGATACTATAAACTAAGCACGTAGATACAGTTACCAAGGAGTTAGAGTCCATAGTACATAGAGAAACATTTTAGACAGAAAGATAAATAGCTAAGTTAGACATCACAGAGGCCTTATAATAAATTTCCTAACCTCTGCTCGGTCTAGCATACCTTTTGCCCCATGCCAAATTTTAGACCTTTAATAAACAATAAGATATTCAAACTCTGTCTATAGAGTTATTTCAAATTGTCTGATTAATGGTTCTCCCAGTCAAAACAATTTTTGTATAATTGAAACTATGGAAATTCTTGTACTTTTCCTGGTTACCTTTGTATTGATTTTTTCTGCTTAACTGATCATGCTATACACCTGCAAATGTTAATCGCTACCTAAAATGAAAATATAAAAACCCGCTTGTACTTGCAATAAACAGAAGAGAGCTTCACTGTCCTTTGAGGCGTGTTGTCGTCTGTCACCCAGCACCGACGCTTACCCTCACCTGTGGGACCCCTTGACCCGCTACGGCCGGACCACAGCGCCCGGCCACACCAGGGAGGCCAGGGAGGTGCGGCCGCCACACAAGCCTGCCGGGCTGACACCCAGCCCCCCGCTTCCTGGACGAAGTGTGGGAGTGCGCCGCCTCCTGCCGGCCCCCCTTCCCCATCCACCGCATCTGTGCAGGGGACCAGCCCACACCAGCAGGAGGAAACCAGGCAGCCGCTGGGCTTCATGGGCCCGGAAGCTGGGCAGGTGGGAAGCAGGCTGAAGGGCAATGGAGAATCCTCTGGAGAGACACCCCCACCCCCACCCCTCCCGCCCTGCAGGCTGGGCGGTGCAAACAGCTCAGTCCCGGCCAGCCCTGGTGGACGGCTTTATTCCGGCCCCCAGTGGACGGCAGCACCAGGCCCTGGACTCAGCAGGGGTTCAGTCCTGTCACGGGTTCCTGGCTGGGAGGCCCGCTCAGGCCTCAGTCCCCCTGCCCTCGGCCCCGTATGTCCTCCACACCAGGGGCAGGGCAGCCACCGTCCCAGGCTCCGGGCCTGAGACCCTGCCGCAGGACCGGGCCCACAGCCACAGTGACTCCAGGGCTCCTCCCCACCGGTTCCCCTGCCCTCCATCAGGTGGCATCACCTGGCCCTCTGCCTCCCCAACCCCACGCCCCTCCCCTAGGCCACCGTCACACACAGAGAGCCCTGGCTCTTCTGGGCCTTGACTCCGGGGCTCCTGGCCAGGGCGGACGCCTCCTGGAACTCCTTGGCCATGTAGTAGTAGCAGACAGCGTCCAGGCAGCAGTTGGCATCCGAGACCCTGCTGGTGATGTGGAGGGCGTAGACGGTGGCGCAGGTGCGCAGGCCAGTGGCCAGGCGCCACGTCAGCACCACGTGCAAGGGCAGGAAGCAGACCACGAACACGGCCAGGTTGGCCCAGACCATGCGGGCCGCCTTGCGGGTGGCCTCCGCCTGGCCCGCCTCGGCAGCCGGACTCCGGCCCAGGGCGGCCACCACCTGCAGGGAGCAGGGCAGCAGCACGGCCAGAGGCAGGTAGAAGCCCAGCAGGGAGAAGACCACAGTCCGGGGGTGCCGCCGGCCGGGGTTCCCGAAGCAGAAGCCGCCCTCCTGGTCCTTCAGGGCCCAGCGGAGCCCCAGGGAGCCGGCCACCAGCACCCAGAGGGCCGCGCACACGGCCCCAGCCTGACGGGGGGAGCGCAGCCCGCGGGCGTACAGGGGGTGCCGCAGGGCCAGGTAGCGGTCCACGGCGATGGCCGTGATCAGGCCGATGCTCATGTACCTGTTGACCAGGTAGACGCTCTGGGAGACCTGGCACAGCACCGTGTCCCCCGCGGGCGAGCTGTGCGTCAGCGAGTAGACCATGAAGGGTACGGCGCAGAGCAGGCAGAGGTCGGCCGCGGCCAGGTTGACCATGTAGACGCGGGTCTCCGTCCAGCGGCGCAGGCGGCAGCAGAGCACCCAGAGCGCCCCGGCGTTCAGCAGCAGGCCCAGCACCAGCAGCAGGCCCAGGTAGGCGTTGTGGATGTGCTGGGCCGGAGGCAGCCAGACGGCGGAGCAAAGGCTGATGTTCATGGTCCGGCGGCTGCAAGAGGCGAGAGGGGCTCAGGGCGTGGGCAGGAGGCGCGGCCCAGGGGCTGGAGAAGCCCCTCCCACCTGTGGCCGGGGATTCGGGAGGTGAACCCCCACCGCCACCCAGGCACACAAAACTCACCCTCCAGAGGAACTCACGGACACCGAGGCCGGACCCCTGCCCAGGGGACAGACGGGGAGATCATGCCGTTTGGAGCAGGGTGGCATCGTGAGCCAGCCCAGGCCTAGACCCAGACCCTCACTCTCTCAGGAGCCCCTCCTGCCGACCCGGGCCGGCCTGCTACTGGGCAGAGAGGAAGGTGGGAACTCATGGTCCACCTCGGAGTCCAGCGGAGCCAGCTCAGGACAGGAAGCCTGCGTGGCGACTCCAGGGCGGGGTGGAGGACCAAGAAGCCCTTCAGCCTCTCCCGGGACCTGGCTGCAGGGAGCACCCGCCTCTGACCCATGCCGGGACCCTGCAGGTCGGCCACACCCACCCCACCCCTCAGCCATCTGGCAGCAGGGGCCAACAGGGGCTGTGGCTCCGGTTAGCACCCCCGCCCCCGGAAACCTCCAGAACTCCCGCCCACCCTGTCCTGGGCGCCGAGGCCCACCCCTGGCCCCATCTGGGGCAGGGAGCCCCGAGCTCCCTGTGGTCAGAGGAGTTACTGGGGCTCGGCCCCTTCAGGCCCAAGCCGGGGTCAGGGCCCCCTGAACCTGCTCTAGCATGCACCCCGAGGGGGGGAGGCCAGGACCAGCCTCCAGGGGTGAGGGGACGGGGTCAGGGGTCTGGCCTCCCTGCCACTGCACCCAGTGCTGAGATGGATTCCGGATTCACCTGAGCTGTGCCGGCCGCGGTGCCCCCTCACCAACGGCACAGGGCACGGCCACCCTCACGCCTCCTCTCGGCCCCACCATGGCTCCTCTGGCTGGAGGACCCGGGGGCAGGGGCCTCCCTCCCCCATGAGAACAGGCCCTCTGGGGGCTCCCTGCCTTTTAGGTGGGGAATGGAAAGTGGCCAGTCCCCCAGGGTGGCTCGGGGCCAGGCTGGGCTGGTTCTGCTCCCATACCCAGGCCAACCCACTCACCCCCACACACAGGAGGGAGGAGACACCCAGAGCCCAGTGTCTGCTGAGTCATCAGGCTCATTAGCGCCTCCAGGCTGTGGCCCCCTGGGGACTCGCTGACACAGACCACAGCCGGGCAGGAGCACAGTTTCCGCCAAGAACAGAAACGTTCGGCAAATGAGCCTTGCGGTTCTTTTGAATTTTAAAATGGCACATCTGCTAGCAATTACAATTTCACGAATCCTTTTCTGGGAGTAAGATTCCCCAGGCCTCCAGCTCTCTCTCCCGCAGCTGAGGGCCGTGGCTTGTTCTGTCCCTTTTCTGCGTCACCTGCTTTTATACCTCAAGCCCAGAACCTGCTGGAAGTCACCACTGGCCTCCTCCCTTCCTGCCGGTCCTGCCCTCCCAGCCACCTCCCACCCGGACACCCCAAGATATGGAGGCCATATCTCTGTGAGACCCCCCCACCCCAGAATCCTTCGAAGCTGCCAGGACTGCTGCTCTGGGGCCCTCATGTCTGTCCCCTGGGATGTGTCCCAGGAAAAGCTTGGGCCGTCAAGGCCTCGGTCCCACCCAAATGGCCACTGTGTGTCCCTGCCTGAGCCCAGCCCCCGCGTGGGGATGCGTGTTCAGGACAGGGATGCCAGCCGGCCTCCTGCCCAGGCACGTGGACTGTCCCCACAGCTGTGCAGGGTCAGGGGTCACGCTGGGGCAGTGGGGGCTCGCAGCAGGGGCGAGAGCTCAGCTGCCAGGGCCCTTCCTTCCTAGCCCTGGGAGGCTGCTGTGGGTGGGGGTGGAGGCCCTCGTGTGCTTCCCACACAGGAAGCAGGAAGCCACGTTGCGACTGCACGGAGATCTGCGTGTGCCCTGCAGAGCCCGGCCCTCCCCCGCAGCCTCCCGGCTCCTCTCCGTCTGCCCGCCCTGCTGACCCCCGCGACCCCGAGTGTGGCTGGCTGCGTGGGACTCGGGGGGCGGATGGCAGCACTCGGCACCATGAAGGCCTCCGGAGCTCGGACCACCTGAGGAACACCCCAGGGTCCAGGACTGGCGTGAGCGAAATGAGAGTTTCACGGAGCAAGGCGGGGTGCGGGGGGGAGGGGACACGAACAGGCACGGTCACCACGGAGCAAGAAGGGGGCACGTAAGTCAGCGATTCCTCGTCTGAGAACTGACCCAGAAAATAAGAAAAACACTTTCTCTGAACGATATGTGAACCCCAACATTCGTTCACAGCGTCATTCTCAGTGGCCGAGATGCGGAAGCCACCGGAGTCCAGTGACAGACACAGGGACGGGGATACGGGCTGGGCACACACTGGGACACTGCTCAGTCACAGCGAGGACGAGATGCTGCCACTTGTGATGACAGCGCCTAAGGGACATCAGTCAGACGGAAAAGGAGAGACACCGCCTGCTTTTGCTCACGAGAAGGATGTGAAAGAAAAAGCAACAAACAGAAAGAGACCTAAACAAACTCACAGACGCAGACAGCAGAGTGGTGGCCGCCAGAGGCGGTGTGGTGGGGGACAAAGAGGGTCAGGGTCACATACACGGTGACAGGAGGACACTGGACTCCGAGTGCACAGTGGCCGATGACACTCTTGTATCCCCGGAATGTATGGAATGTTAATGACCCATGTTACCCCATAAAATAAAAAACTTTCATGACACAGAACTCACCGAGGCGAGAACACAGAACTGAGATATTTCTATTCTAGTTTGGTGGCCACAACTCACAACGTGGATTTCACAACGAGATGGGAGCCCAGGCCCTGGGAGACACCCCAAGTTCCTCCCAACTGCAGCCGCATTCTGACCAACCCCAGCCCTGAGCGCCCCCTTCGGACACCCCCCTGCGGTTCCAAGCCCCCAGCGCAGCCCCGCCCGGCCCTGGGGCCCCTGACCCCACAGTTGGCACCGACCTGCCCGCAGCCTGCTTTTCCGGGCTGAGCTGCCGACTACAGCCCTTTGTGAGGCGGGTGAACTGGCGACAGCAGAGGGAGGTTGACGGGCTCCCCGCCTCTGCCCAGCCCAGAACCACTGAAGAAACTTCCAGGAAGGGAAGTGAGAGCCAGGCCAGTTTGATGCCTCGCACTCCTCACACGCCAGTCCAGTCCGAGGGCCCCTTCCTGCAGCGGCTTCAGCCACCCGCCCACTCAAGACCGACTCCTCAGAGGCCTCCTTCCGGGCGGCCCCCCTCCCGTCCTGATGGCCCCCGGGCCCCCAAGTCCTCCCTGGGCGCCCTCCCCGTCCGGCCTCTGCACGCCGAGCCTCCTGTGGACCCCACTGAGGCGCTGACCGAGGCTGGTCCCCCTGCACAGACTGCGGGGCCGCCCTCGGGCCCACCCCCACCTGCAGAGGCGGGACTGCAGGCAGAGTGGGGGGTGGAGGCCCGGCCTCCAGACCACGGACCAGTGCTCCCCACATGCAGGCCCCTGAAGAAGGGCCTGGTCTCACCCCTGTCCCCCGGGCACAGCCCCAAACCAGGCGATGGGGTCACTCCATGGGCTCCTCCTCCCCCCACCCGGTCTCTTCAGACGACCTCGACTTCCGTGCCACTGAGCCTCCCACGCCTCGGGGTTAGAGGCACGGACCCCACGCAGCCGAGAACCCCCCGAAACCTGACCTCCAGGTGCCTCCTGGAGGCCTCACTCACGCACTCGGGCAGCGCGCACGCCGGACGGACACTGCGCTCCTGGAGCGAGCGGAGACCAGAGTCTCACCGAGAAAGCCCCGGGGAGGGAAGGCGCACGCACGGCGTGAACCGAGGGCAGCGTGCACGTCCGTGGGCCCTGCGGGTTTGAACCCTTGTTTTCAAGGGTCAGCTGCGCACAGTTCTTGCCTGTGGCAGGGACCCCCCCCAGCCCTCGACTCGTCACCACCGGGCGCACAGTAGGGCCTCAGTGAAGCCCGTCAGCAGGAAGAATGCAGCCGATGGCCTAGCAGGGGACCGAGCAGGATCGTGGCTCCCGGTGGCGCTCTGTGAACGCCCGGTGACCGCGGGCTCAGAAGCATGTGCCTGTGAGAGGGGTCTCTGTCCCCCCACCGCCCCTGAGCCCACCACGCCGCCGGCTCCCTCCCAGTGGGGTGGGGGCCGCCCCGGACCAGGCCCTGTCGCTCACGGCTGGGCCGTCCGGAAGCCGCAGCAGTGGGTCTGCGGAGGACAGGCCGAGGGCCGCCGCGATGCCGCCAGGCCCCCGCGCTCAGCCCGCACCCCACGCCTGCCCTCCCGCCGAGGTCCCAGAGGCCGGTCCTGCTTCTCGCCTGCTGGGCCTGGGAGAGGCCCTGTGACAGGCAAGTGTGTGGGGTCGGGCCCGGGTCTCGAGGGGGTGGTCCTTGGGCCCCTCCTCCGAATCCCTGAGGGTGGAAAGGGCTGCAGGCCTGTAAGCGACGGCCACCAGCTGTGGTCACTGCGCCAGGTCCACCCGAAGCTTGGCGGGTGGGGCCCAGGGGAGGCTGGGCGGCCCTGGTCTGGCAGCGGCCCCTCTCTCCCTGGGGAACCTGCCACCCCGCTGTGGGGCCGAGGTCCCGCACCGCTCCCTCCCTCATTCATTCATTCGTCACTCGTGTGTTCAGCACGTGTGCTGAGCGTGGGCAGGTTCCCCAGCTTGGTGGACGCCCCCAGTGACACACGCTCGGGGCCTGCCCGCTGCGTCTGAGGTTCCATAGGTCATGAAGGGTCATGAACAGGTCACAGGTCATGAACAGGTCACGGGTCATGAAAAGGGCATGGGGGCCCTTCGAAACTCCCTGGGTTACAAAGGTGTGAGAACATGGGCCGAGGGTGCCTGTGGGGCTGCCTGTCCTGGTCCAGATCCCCCACCAACGGAGCCACAGGCACACGCAGGCCAAGGAGGGGGTCACGCACGGCACCGCCCTTCCCTGCCTGTCACCGCAGCCTGCCCGCGCCTCGGGGAGTCCAGACACCGCAGGCGAGGGGAGTGCCTCCTCATCCGGCTGCGGTGCCCCACCCGCCGCCTGGCACTCTCCCAGCAGGAGGGTCCCCGGGTGGGGAGACCCCCAGGCCGGCCCACTCACCTCTGCCAGCTATGCTCTCCTCCGCCCCTGGCCAGCTCCTCGCAGCCCGCCTGCTCTGCCAGGGCCCTCAGGGACCCCTCCGGCGGCGGCGAAGGGGCGGCTGAGGAGGCTGCTCCAGCCTCAGGCTGCTGACTCCTCCCAGCCCCCTCCCGCCTCGGCCCGAGGCTGCGCTGCCCGGCTGAGGCGGCCGCCTTCCCGATGGGCACCCGCCACCCACACCGAACAGCAGGCGGGGCTCCGGGCCACCTGGGAGGCCTCCCCGGTCGTCACACCCCGTCTCTCCCAGGAGGCTGTGGCCCCCGCTGAAGAGCCTGCAGGCCCTCCCCACCCCACGGGACAGGCACTCCGGCTCCGCCCCCGCGGGCCCCTCGGGCTGAAGAGGTGATGGGCCTGTCCCCCTGCTGGGGCCTCTGAGGTCGGAGCAGAGGGCTCGTCTCCCCCGGGCCCCC